GTGGGCGCGAACATTTCGAAGTAATCAACTCCGTAGCGTTGGCATTGGCCATTGGTGACTAGGCAAGCTCGTAACTTGAGCTTCTCTCCATCGGGTCCATGTTTCGTGGCCAGAACGAAATGGCAGGGAATAATGTTGGCGCCTCGAGGTGGGCCATCACTTCCCATGTACCTAACTTCTCAAGCTGACTTATTTTGTAATCCAGTGCTTCTTGCCACTCAACTCCATCCAGGCCATTCAGCGCCTGGCGAAGTGTAGGTTCTGGCTCTGCGGCAGCCAATGCAAGGTGAATGTGTCTCTCTTCGTCCAGCAGGTCCAACTCTGATGCCTCCAACAGGGAATCTAAAGCTAGGGATGCGGTCTCCCCCTCATTGAGGGCTGCATAATATCCTGGAGGTGGCCTGGTGTGGGTGGTCCTTGGAGCTGGTGGGGTTAAGGGACATTGGGGTACTCTGGCTGGAGTAGCAGGTGGCGGGATAGGCTGAATGACTGGTATGTTATTACTGCTGCTGCTGTTATATTCATCGTACCGCATGACATTGGAATCCCCCTCGTTCAGGGTATCCTCGGCCACTGTGACCTCCCTAGGTGCAAAGGTAAGGTTTCTTTCAACCGAAACCCTGCGCTTACCTGGCCAGTACACTCTGTAGCCTTTGCTCTCCACGTCCACTCCTACAAAGACTCCCTCCTCTGCCTTCGACTCGAGCTTCCCTGCGTCATGCAGGTGGACATAGACCTTCGTGCCAAATTTGTGTGCTTGGACAAGGCTGGGCTTAGTCTTTCGGACGAGCTCGAATGGGGTGGTATCTGGGGTTGCACTTGATGGTAAGCGGTTTTTCAACCATGTCGCATAATTGATTGCTTCAGCCCACAGATACTTTGGCAAGTCCTTCATTATGAGCATGGCCCTTGCATGTCCCACCAGGGTCCGGTTCAGATGTTCGGCTACGCTGTTCTGCTGAGGTGAGTCGTGGATGGTCAACTGGCGCTCGATACCTTGCTGATGCAGGTACTGGTCGAATTCGACGGACAGATACTCTCCCCCTCGATCCGAACGGACCTTCTTCAGACGGATGCCAGGACTCTGGCGTCCCAACCATGCCTCATAGGCCTTAAAAGCGGTAAGAGCCTCGCTCTTGAGCTTTAGGAAGTGGAGTTTGGTTTGACGACTATAGTCATCAGTGAAGCTGATATAATACAGGCTCCCACTGATACTGGTCGTCTGGGCCGGCCCCCACAAGTCCGTGTGGACAAGGCATAGGTGAGTGCCTGGCTGTTGCTCTCATTGGGGAATGGTTTCCGTGCTGACTTTGCCTTGGTGCAGGCTTCACAGAACTTGGGCTTCGAGCTTTGGTCTAGCTCGAGGCCCATTATCAGACCCTTCTTCACGGCATCTGCTGCTGTAGTCTGGGACACATGTCCCAAGACTTTATGCAGCTCACTAACGGTAAGCTTGCCTTTAGCAATGTTGGCGTGATGCTGACGTGGCTTCCCTGCTGTCACGCTGTACAGCCCTTCAACCTGGGGTATTTCGGCTATGACACGGCACTTGGGTCCTTGCGACAGGACCTTGCACATCCGTCCCTCGAAGAGGACAGCCATCCCAGCAGCCACAATGCAATTGGTGGAAATGAGGGTGAAGGCCATAGCAGGTGCATACAGTGTGTTTCTCACTGAGAGGCAACTCTAGCTCAACGTCTCCTCGACCTACAGCACTCAGACTGGAGCCATCGGCAGTGTGGATCTCCTGGGGGGGTATGGAGGTGAAGTTGGTGAACTTCGCCTGGTCTGGGCAGAAGTGTGAGGTAGCACCGGAGTCGACAATGGCCCCGCATCTATCTGCAGGTACCCTGAGGTCCTTGGCAATATTCACCAAGTCAGATGACACGAATGTGTACTCCTGGGACGTGGACTCTGCAGCTGAATTTGCGGTCTCGTTTCGGCCCTTCTCACCCTTCCGTCGTTGCTGATTTGGGCCTTGGCCCTCCTTTCCCCCTCCAGGTCTCCAACAGTCTGTTTTATAGTGACCTTTGCGGTCACAGTTATAACAGGTGATGTCCACATTAGCTTTGCTTGACGTGGCTGACCTCTTCCCTTTGTCTTTAGACTCGCGCGCATTCAATGTGGTGCCTGCGCTACCCTTCTTACCAGGACGCTTTTCGGTGAGCTGACGGTGCTCGTATTCCTCTGTTATGATACTGATTAGTTCATAGGAGGACAAGGGAGTCTTAGTGATCTTGGCGGCCACATTTATGGACGACAAAAGAGGGTGATAGGATTCGGGGAGTGAGCCGAGAATGATGGCATGGAAGTCCGTATTGAGGATCCCCGCACCCATGCCTGCAAGTAGCTCACGCAGGTGCATCATCTTGGAGAAGTGGGCTCTAATGTCTCCTCCCTCCTCGCACCTCGTCTCCTGCAGACGACGGCATATATTGATCTGGACGAGCTCAGTCTTGTCTTCATGGATCTGGCAGATCTCCTCCCAGACCTCCGATGCAGACTTGAACTTTTGGACGCGCAGCAAGAGTCGGTCCGTTATAGTACTGAAGATCTGCTGCTTGACCAGTGAGTTCTTTTGGTCGTACTCGTCTATTTTCTTATCGCGCTCGTCGATCTCCTTTTGTGAGGCAGTTGAACTGTCCAGTTTCTCCAGTACTCCTGATACCTTGCCTATGAGGTAGGGTAATGGCTCGATGGCACAACCATCTGCATATTGCATCAAACCTCGGGCACTTATCGCCGTCAACATTCTCTCCTTGTAGGTAATCCAATTCGTGCCATCTTCGGCAAGTTTGGGGACGTTGAACAATGAGGACGTAGTGCTGGGGAGTGTATTATCGACGGTCATGTCAGGGCTCATAACCTCTCAAGATCAGAGTCGATGTGCGGTCAGAATCTAACAGGTAAGACAAGTCTCAGTCTCTGGAAACAGAACTCTGCATTAACGAAATGTGTACCTAACAGGTAAGACAACTACATTGCGTTAGCGTTTGTATACGACAAGCTAAGGTATAGGTACTCACGTCTCAGTCTCTGGAAACAGAACTGAGACATTCATCTGCATGGGCGCTAGACTTTATACTGTGAGTAGTTTTTCTCGTTATATTAGAATGAAACTTGATACGTGTGCAGCTTCGGGGCCGATGTCACCTCTCCCTCATGCCTGCCATTCTCCCCTTGCGCTCGCACCCTCTATTCGACATCTTGTGCCTCGCTATCGGCTCTCTCGGTCTTCTTCGACTCGGACTCTTCGGACGACAACACAACACCCAACACCCAACACCCAACACCTAACACCCAACCTTGTGACCTAACTAGAATAAATAGAAATAAATACAACACAAACCCTAATAAGCCCTACACATTACATCATCATCCCACACGAAATAAATCAATAAGCATCATTAATATTGTCACTGAAGATAATCAATTACATGGCTCGTACAAGTCTAATCTACAAAACTACATCCTGTATATGATGTTATGAAGCATCCTTCAGCCACCACGGACCCCAGAAGAGGCTGTCCATGAATTTAACCTTGCATTCAGACATGGCACATCAGTAAACTAAAACAAGCTGTACAGAGCTGTACAGTATCCCAGCTCCCTAGCTTGGTCCCTACTACCTAGCTTGTTACAGTAGCAGACTATTTTGTCAATCTCTGTACAGATGCCCACAGACATGCCCAGCAAGCACAAAACAGCTCTCAAATAGTACTGATCTCCTCTGTCTATGTCTGTACAGACCCTCACAGATCACTCAAAGAACGTGATTTGTACAGACAACTTGCTCCTGGTCATGGTATTCACTCTATACAATAGGATAGCCACAAAAATATATTGAATCTCGCATGCAGATGCATGAAAGCACATAACAGTAGTGGTGGATATAACAATCAAGAGAAATGATACAGAATATGATATGGGTGAGTAATTCGAGCACAGATCAGCAGCACGATTTAGTCCAGAATCACCTGGAGGTGGTTGTGTCTTGCCTCCAGAAAATATTATTTCTGAGTATGATGTCATAATGATGTCATATAGCTCCACAGAAAGTTCTAGACTATTCTGTTGGAAATTATGATGTAATGTATGAAGTCATAATGATGTCATAGGCTCTAGAATATTCTAGCCCCACTATGATGTCATCTCTGATGTCATTGCTCCATCTTTTATTTGTATTTTATACTTTTATTGGGTTTCACCCAATATTCTGATTGGTTCTCTCTTTATTTTATTGTTTGTGAACCTACATTACTTTCCCACACAAAATGTATATAAGGGGAGCCCATTCTCCCCCAAAAAAATAGAGATCCCTCTTCTAGGAAATTTTCTTCTCAGAGAAACCCCTCAGTTGAACAAGACATCTCACTTGTAAAGATCTCCCACTTGTAGCAGAACAAGTGCAGGGAAACATATCCCTTGAGAATACAAGTTTCTTACGATAAGAAGCTTACATTACTGTTTATTTGACCAACCAGTCTTTGGTCCACATGATTTTAGAGACCGTTGTCTCTCCTGTTTTACTGTTTAATTGACCAACTCGTGCCTTGGTCAACGTGATTATTCTTGAGACCATTGTCTCACCAGTGCTATTTGTGCCTATTTGACCAACCAGTCTTTGGTCAACATGATATTACAGAGACCCCTTTGTCTCTACTCCTATTCGTGCCTATTTGACCAACTCGTGCCTTGGTCAAATCTACCCAGTTCATTTCAGTGCCTAGAACGTGCAATCTAGGCAAAGTTATTTGTACTTCAGACCACAGTTCTGAATCTAGGTAGCAAATCCTAGATAAAGCAATTGGAGGTACACATAAAAGCTCCGGCTAAGTTGATCACCTGATTGGTTTAGCGAGCCTCCCAAGAACTCACACGTTATCTACCACGAAAACTAGAAAAGTCGTAGACCGTGTTAATCGAGGACTGGCAAGAAGTCTTATCCAAGTGTAATTGTGGTGTCATTAAATTCTTACACGCTTTATGTAAGACCCTCGGTTATTAAGACAACGGGTATAGAACATAAAGAAATGCAACACGTCTTCGTTGGTCTGCTTGCTGGTGCTGTCCCAAGGTAAAGTTTAGTAAGCCATGCTGCTGACATAATCATTGATTTCATTTGCTAGTTGAGTCTTAGTGGTTGCGCGAGCCATTCTAGACTTTTCATATTACGCACAACTTCGAATGCACACTGTTGATTCCCTCGATGGTCTGGAGAGCGCGCTTGCGGTGTTTCACACCAACAAGGACATCCTTCAAGAGCTTGAAGTTCATGATCACTTTAATATTCCTAAACTCCATCAAATCTCACACTTCGTTAAGTCAATCACTCCATTTGGTTCCACTGATGGTTTCAACACTGAGCTTCCCGAACGTTTACATACCGATTTTGCCAAAGACGCCTATCGTGCCAGCAACAAACATGACTACGAGGAGCAAATGGCCTTATGGCTTCAATGGCAAGAAGCCATATTCCTGCGTAGTTCTTACCTTGATTGGTTGTCAGAACGCTCTCAGTCAGCCACAGTGTCCAGTTACACAGATCCCAACCGCAGATATGACTTGGATTCAGACTCAGACGCCGAGATTGAAGAGTTGCGCAGCACTGCCCCCACAAATGCAAGTCCGTCACTTCCTATTGATGTGGTCCATATTCTCGCCAAAACTCCTGCACACCCTCGGCAGTCTGTTGATCACCTCATCACCGCACATGGCACCACCATGTTTCTCCCTGCCCTCAAATCTTTCCTGCATGAGCACATACCATGCAACAACATCATCCCCGGTCCACATGACCAGTTTGATGTTTATCGACAAGTCGTCATAGTTACTCCCCCTGATCCACGCGCCAGTGACTCACCAAAGTGGTTGCGCATTAGAGCGACACCTGAAGTGCAGCCTGGTCCTGGCCAGAAACATGGGACCCCCGCTAGATTTGATATGGCACTGATAAGTGATGGTGTTAGGACATCGAATTTGCGGACATTCGAAGGTAAGCAATGGTTACTATTCAAGGCCTTGCAACTGAAATGGATACTGTAGGTGTGCGAGTTGCGCAAGTTCGTGTTATATTCACCTTGCCTCATCAGTTTCAAGTTGGGAGTGGCCCACTAGCTTACGTCAAGTGGTTCACGCCGCTTCGGGAGCCAGATCCCTCCTGTGGCCTGCATCAAGTGTCACGTTCGACTCATCAGCTGCAACAGAATGCAGCCGTGATACATCTAGATAAAATCGTTTGTCCGTGTCACCTTATTCCAAAGTTGGGTCCGTCTGTTGACCCCAGGTGGATGAGTGCGAACGTCTATGAGATGGCACATGATTTTTATTTGAATACTTTTATTGACCTTGAGACTTTTTGTATTTCTGCTCGTAGTGTCTAGATCTACTACTACTGCTACTACACTACAATGACTACAGGTTGCTACTACCGCCAACTGTTGCTCTACATAGTCCTAGTTCTGGCTACACCAGGTATGTAGTACTTGTTAAGGTCGTACTCTCATAGGATCGGATCCGAAGGACTTCGGCCTCAGCTCGTACGCTGTGCCCCTTTCCCAAGTACTGTCCCTTATTTCAGAGACTAACGATAACGCGTCCGAAGGTCCGGACGGGTCTCGTAGTTATATCCGGATGACTTCCGGATATCGGAAACACGTATAAGACTAATCCGGACGGATCCGGACTAGAAACAAACAGAGTATAGACTATCCGAAGATAGAGGCGGAGACGTAGACTATCGGAATCGATCCGAAGTCTCAGAGATCGACAAGAGTTGATTAGACTCAAGTCCGGAGGACAGAAAGAGGACAAACTAAGATGATATTCGAACTGAGGTAGTACTACAGAAAATATACATGGGTTTATATACTAAGAGGATAACGGAAGGATCAATAAGCAAAGGTCCGAGGCTATGTACGAAGCATATGCAAAGCTTATCAAACACGAGTCGGAAATGAAGCATAGGATAACGGATCAGTAATCATACCGGTAATAAGTATAACCGAGACACCGGGAAGAGGAAATACCGAATAGGCTGTGTTTAACATTATATGAACAGGAAATGAATTAAGAAGCTTATCGAATATCGGACCGGACGCGGATCTATGCATCGGACCGGACCGGATCTAAGGGTCCGAAGTCCGGAAGAGAAGCGTGAATATATGGGATATGACAGTACTATATAGTAGCCTGGTTGCCTACATAGTACTACACCGCCTATGTAGCACTATATAGCTGCCACTATGACTCTGATGATTTGGTATTTTTCCTGATGAAACGGCCCCTGGAGCCCCCAGGACAACACCCCATGACCGGAAATGACACTATAAGGCTACGGGGAGGTTGCTTCATCAGGAAATCACTGAGTTCCTTATTTGCTCCTTATTCTCCTTAATTTGCACGATAAGGTCACTCGAAAATAAGGAGAATAAGGAGATCCATTTCCTTAAACTAAGGTGCTTTCCTTAAAATAAGGCACTTTTCCTTAAACTAAGGCAGATAAGGAGATCAAAAAATACTATTATTTCGAGACATAGACTAAGTACACTAAGGTGAATACATGAGTTCAAGGCGCCCTATGAAAATCTCCAAAAAAAAACACGTCTGAAAATGAGCAATGATAGCGGGAGCAGGAACCAATATGTGATTAATGATTCAAGGGGGAAGGAGGAATAAGTGCGCATGTACCAAGTAGCCAATCAAGTCCTATCAAATATATAGCATCAGTGAGAAAATCTCGAGCTCAAATGAGGATCGACACACTCACATAATGTAGTGCTGCCGTGGTGCGGTTCTACCAGAGTCGATGTTATGTTTGCAGTGTCCGAGAATGCAAATGTGTCAATCTTCACTGCAGGATTCTCTGAAAGGTGGAAAGCCCGCAGAATAAGAGCTGTGGTGATGGAGACCGACCGATTCATGATATGTTGACCAGGACACACTCTGATATTTTCAAGTAAGGCATGAGGAATGGTCAAGAGATAAACGATACCACTCACCAGCGGCCAAAGCCAAAAGTAAAAAATCGGAGATCACTGCACACACAACCTGCATTGTCAGTGAAAGGTGGGTCGTTCATTATCGCGTCATCACAACTCAAATAAGACGTACCTCCAAGACTGACAGGTCTCTACCTGAGACTCTTGAGCATGAACGCGGTAACCTGTGGCAGCATGTCAGGATCTGTATGTGAAGTCGGAGTAATTTTTCCATAGATGAAGGAGTGAAATCTCTCACCAGAGCCCTCAAGCAGCACTCCCAACCCATCAGCCAACGTCTCTTGCACCGAAATAGAACATGGGCAATCGGCAACATTTGCTCCCTCTTTTTCCATGATATCCACTGCAGCCTATGACGTGATCTACTTCATGCCTGGATAGACAATGAAACATTTTATGCTGACCTGATGCCGTCCTATAGTCACGAAAATCCTATGGCTGAGCGAGAACACAGGTCCATATTGTTCTGTCCGTCTCGCGAATTGAAACGGCACACTGTGTAAGGGGTTAGATAGAGATCATGTTGGTGGTACGAGTGCAGAATTTGCAGATGTCAAGGATCCCAGAAGTCGAAGTCGTCACATGAACAAACATATACAAATATTGGACTTAGAGCAGTTTCGAACCATTTCGCCACCTTGACCACCTTATTTTCCTTAGCCACCTTAATTCCATTTTTTAAGTAATCTAAGGAACAAAAAGAAAAATAAGGAACTCGGTGATTTCCTGATGTTGGCACCTCCGCAGCATTGCTGATGCATGCGAGGACTTCGGTGGTCACCCCAATTTGTTGGTGGGACTTATACTTCTTCACAGCGAAGGCAGCTTGTTGTATATAAGTTTGATTTTTTTGTAAAAATTTGAAACATCCCCGCAAAAAACCTGAAAATGGTAAAAACAGTGTATTTTGGGCATGTTCCTTCCTAAAATGTCTATGGAGTCGCAGTAATGCATTTCTGAGGTTGTACAGAGGCACTGCATTTGAGCTTCTTACACTGTAGGTTAGGCAGAGTTAGGCATAGGCGAAGTTAGGCGGCTATGTCAGAAATTCCTAATTTAGATTTCAACACCTTGTAAGGCATTTCAAGGTTCAAAGGCAAAATGGCCTTTGAAATGGGTTTAAATAATAGAGTCGTACTTAAAATTGCCATAGAAATGTAGTTAAAATGGCATTGCAACAGATTGCAACGGGCCTTGCAATGGTACGGCACGTTGCAATTTGGTTGCCATATTATTGCAATATATTAAATTCCTTGCAAATTTGTTTCAAGAATACCTCATTGCAACCACTTTTGGAAATTTGCGACATACTTTGAGCCACCCTATAGAATGATGACTAAGCTACGCGAAACGCGTATGTACTAGTACCTTGAACGTTGACGTTGAACACGTGTAGACTACTTGTTGTTTTCTACTCCGAGTCTTCAGATTATGCGCGTGTCTTCGTCCGTTGTCCAATCTGTGTGCGCCCTTTGTCCGCCTCTCAGATCTCTCACAGGATCGCTGTGAGACAACCACCGAAATTGTCCTCTAATTTTTTGCAAGTTCTCAAATTTTGCATCGGGCTACCGGTGCCGCAATCAAATGATGATCAAGTGCACAATGCATGATGTTGGACTGCGCGGTGCTGTTCAGGAGAATATCTGTGCCATGACACTAGTGGCATATTGGCGCAGTGATCATCTCCTCCAACAAGCATTTCCGACATACTAATGCACATACGCGAGCAAAGAAGCCATGTTGATCGTGGCATACAATCTCGATGGATTATACTCTCGTGGTCTAATTTTGTGCGTTGTGACCTACATACTACCAATAAGGTGGTCGTGAAATTACTCGATATGGACACTCACGCTTGACCCTTGTCATCTAGATCATCCCTACATGGCTTGCACCGAGGTCCGAGGAAGCTTTCAGAGGGGGTGACGGATTATAGCTCATTGACCACCAGAAGATGATGATCAAACATGAGTTGAACCGCGCAGAGATCATGATGCTTAGCATTTGATGTAGGAAATCAGCTCACAGTTGTTCCGCATAGTGTACGGGCGTTGCAGTTCTTCCATTTGCATCAAACTGTAACCACCAATGGAGCAGAACATATTCATTTCGACACGAATGGCATGGTTTTCTTCTCTGAGTTTCAAATTCACCCTTTTGCCAGCGAGCAACTGCTTATGGGGCAATCCCAGTACTCTGCATTTGCTACATTGGAAATCCATCGCCAGTTTCGCGACACGGATAGGACCTGCTATTGGTTTTGACTGAATCACCATGTGCAGTCTAATTTGATCTCGCACGGTGACACGGCGAATGCACAGTTCCGAAATCATGCAAATTCAGATCTTGGAAATATATAAGAGCGAATTCTGGAACCTTATCTAGTACGAGCGTGCAATGGTCGCACCCCTCGAGAATACAGGTATTCAGACGGCGAAGGTAAGAATTCCCGAATCTGTTTTCCAGATGATGTTTATTGACTGCAACTGCTCTAGTATTGCAATGGTACGTGGACTTCATACATACAGGGGTTTACACCATTGTCATCCTGAATATGTGCAGTGGCCGGTCTAGGAGTTTTGGTAGGTCTATATACAAATCACGGACAATAACCCCTCTTATGCTTCCTAGATTTTTGACTATTTCTTAATGCTCAAACCTGAAGTGAGCATTTCTTTGTCAAGTTCGAACATCTCTTGACAAATGTCACAAGATTCGATGGACATGGAACAGGCGCTGGAACGTCGCTCGTGTTCTTTTCGTAATCTTATGCTACATGGCCTTTGTAGCAGCCGGCATGACTTCATACGGTGAGCAACTACCTGTATCTCCTGGTACATGACATTGACGAGTGATTAGCTATCCTTGCTACACGAGCGAACGAGAATGTTAGTGTGTCTTGTTTACGTGGTTGTTGTATGACCTGAAGGACGACAAATACAGTGCTCGAACTTCAGCAGGGCTTCAAATGGTGATCGATATCCTGAACATTCAGCGTCTTGTCACTGATTTCACTACAGCAATTCATATCATCAGTATTGTAGCTGCTGAAGGTTCGCTCCATTCCTGTAGTGTCGACGTCTTCTGAGCCTTATATCTATCTCTCATAGGTCTTCTGATTATTCGTACATATGCGTACTGGAAACAGAGCAAGAAGCTTTGGCAGTCTTACTGGTCTTGGCAGCAGTACGTTGGTCTGGTCATGCATGCTCACACTCATCGTCTGTTGATATCGCAATGTAGATTTGCATTGCGTGTGGTGTCGGTCTCACAGATTTTGTCGGTAGCCTACTAGTGGTGCCTGTAAACCCTTCAGGTGGGTTTGCATTATTTTCTTTCCTTGTTGTAGACGACAAATGTGCTTTTCAAGTTCCCCCCATAAGCAACTGCACTTTTCAAGTGAATCCGGGCAGTGCCATTCAATATGGCTTTCTTATAGCCTACGAACTATGTAAGGATATCTCGTCCATTCCATCGCGGCACAACTTTTCAATCCCGTTCACCTAGTGCTGTTGTCTTTGATGGTGTTCAAGAGATATAAGGACTACAGAGATTATAACAGTCGTCTGATGAGAGTAGTCTTCCAGGGCGGAATGCGGTATATGACTGCCATGATCTGTGTGGTGACCTTTTTTCAATTTAACATGTCCCGTGCTGAAGCGCTTGTTGCAGTCGTTTCTGTGGCCAATATAGTGATCACGTCTGCGGTGCCAGTAAGTTGCATATTGTATGCGCTCATTTGACAAATTTTGTTAATTTGGGCAAGATATCATACTATAGCGAGATGATGGACTTGTGCGTGGCAATTCGTTTAATGTGGTCTAATAAAATCACTGATGCATTGTGGCAGACCACAAGTTGTCCTCCATAGTATGTTTGCATCTCGTGTGCTGTTTGATCTGCGTGAAAGTGACCAGCATGATTTGGATTTAACAACATTACAATTGTCGACATTTCGTCCAGCTCAGCAGGACCAAAGGCCTACTTCATTTGATTGATTATATCACATAGTCATGATATGGTTGGTCCATCAGAATGTAGACGTAACATACAAGAGAGTTTGCCTAACTAACGACAACGTGATTTGAAGTGACCAAGGTCTGTGATGCCTGGTAAAAGAGGTGGAAGGAACGACAAGGATAATTAAGATGGACATGCGGATATAAATATAGACATGTTTGGGATTGTTGCTGAAGCACTACTGGGGGATACATGTACCCTATTAAGCGATGTGATATGAAGGCCGTGATCCTTCAGCCGAGACTCGGCGCCTTTGTGGAGTCGGGGGAATTTGAAGGAATCCAGGGTGCTAACGGACACGAAACATAAAACAACAACAACTTGTTGACGTGGCTCAAAACGGCGACAAGGGACGCACCTAGGAACGGACATGCAGGCACCAGCACCAGTAATAGTGCAGGAGTCGAGTATCTGCTGCTTGAGGTCAGGCTGTGGACTTGAAGTGTGCTGTATTGCAAATTGTTATAAGAATAGACTGGACGAGAATTTCAGTATGCACAAGTGATAGAATATTTCAAACAAAATCATTTGACACGAGTCGCTCTGAGCAGAACAAACATTGGAGCATGACTAACATGAAAAAGTCACCAGGTTGGTGGGTGCCATGGGTAGGCTTTGAAAGTGATGGGTGTGGTTGCGGAGGACTGAGTAGGTGGTGTTGGTGACAGTCGAGTCCGAAAATGCAAGTTGAAGATGGGATTATTGAATGCGTGGAAGCTCACGTTTTCCACGGGAATGCATTCCAGAGTCGTGGCCTGTACCGACGCGCAAGCTTAGTTGGGGCAGAATGCAAGGTAATGATATCGAGTCAAGTGGGAAGTTTTGTACAGTATCATAACACAGCTGTACATCAAACAGCGCAAACTAAAAGTCCTACTCACTACCTTCTGACATTTGCCACATTGCCAATTAATATTAATAGTACTACATAGTATTACAGGAATGAGAATGTACAATGTGGTGAGTTATTAGTGTTATTTTGATGATAACATGGGCTATGCTAATTCCATCGTGTCATATCGATGAATCCCACTAGGATGCTGTTCAATACTCCAAAGTGGCATGCACAACTACGCATGCGGCGACCAATCACCGGAGTGGAAAATTAGGTGGAATAGGGAAAGCAGCGCATAGGATTAAATGGTGAACATTGAGGATTGTGCATTTGCAGCCTGGAGGTGAGTTGACTATGACATTGTGGCAGTCACTTCATATCCAACTTCTACGCTAGCTCGCCAATGTTCTGTGGCATAAGGGCCATACCTGGATCTCTTTCTCCCTATGCGTTCACATTCCTGTTTGTAATCTAGGGATGATGTTACATTCTACGCGCGTCAACTACGGATCATGAATCAGGCCTCAGGCTGTGTCATTGATGCAAATCAAGTGCGGTGCGCCTTGTATCAGTTCCATACTTATCATTTAATGACATCCTTATATGAATAGTCAATCACTGAGGTGGAGGGCTAGAAGATGAGAAGGTGGCACATGCTCAGGAAACGAAGGAGCAGGGCGTTGAAAGACGTGCTTGAGGGGGTTGTATGGGTGAGTCCTCTGTCTGCTTCGTTTGGACCTTCCTTGTCTTACATTCTAACCTCATCGAGCGGCCTCGGAGGTGCCGTCACATTCAGGCATGCGAAGCAGAGACTACTGATGCCCATCGAAAGTCATTGAGATAGCAAGCTTTTCCCAAGGTCACATCACACCGAGGCCATTGTTAGACAAAGTTGTACATTGGATTTCAGTTGATTTAGCGTCGAGGGGTGTGCCCTGGCAGCTTTGTGGCCGAGGTGAGTTGTTGTTACAATCAAGTACCCTGAGATTGAGGCTCGTCGCTCAGGTTTTACGATATCAACTGGTACAGTTTGAAGAGCAACAAATCAGGCCTCATGCAGTCATGACAGTGCGTCTGAGTCTTCTTTTCCCATCTCTCAGCGCTGTCTTTATTTAGAGATGGCATTGCATCCGAATTCAACAGATATCAATCATAGATTCTCGATCAGGATGTCACCACAGCACTCAATTAGTATGTCTCTAGCTGTGTAAACCGATACCTGGCCATTTTGCCAAGTAAATCGAAGATTCTGCAGTCACCATTTTTCGCATCCCTATGAGACAAAAATCCGATAATCGAGGCAGAGAGCAAGGAGGTACGCATGTATTTTGAAGTACTTCAATCTCTTACCATATTCCAGTATTCCGCTCTCGCAACTGCTTGACGACCAACATCTACGTTGAGTGCCTAAATTTAGTTTATCTTTCTTCATGTGAAAATACTTATCTCATTTCGGTACTCCAAGCACATCATCGCGCTATATCTAGCATAAATGTCATCGTAATACGTCCACTAAGGTTGCCTCTCACCCACACCCATTCTCTACCAATATGACCATAGTCTCAAATGATCCCGCTTGGTGGTCAGCCATCAATGGATATCGTTTGGTCAGCTATTTTGAAGGTTCGGGAAGAGCAGTCGGATGTTGAAGCTGCCACAATCTAACCTTGGCTGTGGTTTTGCAGTCGCCGCCTTTGTTACAGTGATGTATGATTGGGGTGAGCATGATAACATTAAAAGACTGCTGACGTCTTATGATTATTTTCAGCACTTACATTTGGACAAGAGGTATGTCGATGATATGACTGGAGCGGCCATCTCACTGAGAATTGCTTTATAGGTGGAGCTCATCTGGGTGAGTAGAGTCTGGTGTCAGAAGAACACACATAAAAATATACTTGATTCCAGAGGCAACGATGGTCCCTAATGACAGTTCTGTATCTCGGTGTATGTAGCTTTTTTGTCGCGGTTGCCATGTTGTGCTGACTTGAGAGTACCCTAGGCGCGTTACCTTGGACTCTTATACGCTGCGTATGTTCGGAAGGCTACACAATCGGTGTTGTGCTAATCGTCTATCTCTCATCATCAGGGTGAACACGCTGAGTATGTCTCATTAGTACATTTGTTGTCTGTGTTTATTCTGACCAACGACATATAGTCGATGTTCCGACCATCTCACTGACAGATACAGTGAGTCTTCTGCACAGATGCCTATTACTATTTCCCTTGTGGTTCTTTACTGCCTTCCTGGTTCATTAATGACTACCATGCTATACTGCCGTAGCTGTGAGTGTTTGGAGCATGTGCTACCCGAGGCTGATTGCTGACTGGATTCGTCAGGCTATATTATGTACGTTATATGGAATTGGACGTATGTTGTGGTATCTGCGATACTGTCGGGTGAGCTTTGCACTTGCGAGACCTCTGTGATATTGACTTGATTGAAACATGCTGCAAGTCATCATCATCACTCGGGTGCATGCGATGTATCAAGGATCCAGAAAATCCTGCTATTTCTCACTGTCACCTTTCTGGCTGTCAACACTTTCGATGCAGTGGTCGCCGTAATGACAACGATGTATACTTCAGGGGGTGCGTTTAATTGTGAATGAAAATAAGCGTGTATGAGACTCATTGATACCAGAGGAACTCATTCTCTCTGGCACTTATCAGTGCCGGATTGACTATGCGGAAGATACCTTGTTTCTATATCTTCTTACTTGGATACTTGCCACCATGTGGGAGGTTCTCGCACTATGTCTCGCAGTCTGGATTGTGGTAAAACACTTCCATGAACTGCGACAACATTCGGCAGGAGGCATTATCGAGAACTGTTTCATGGTGTTGATAAAAACTCATGTAGTTTACTTTGTGAGGTAAACTCATATTGTGATTATTGTTCCTTTTTTCCACTGACGGGGTCGGACGTGGTAGCTTTGTTACTGTTTCTTGCTTCTATTTCATTCTTGCGTTCTCTCCAATCTTTACGGTATGTCAATCTTTCACTTTCCTATGCACGCTACTACAATTTATCATTTCTATAGGACAATCTTCTGGATGCTGAGATTATTTCTGGGTATGTTCAGATTTTGGAGGTCGTGCAGATGTTTGTGTTGGGACCGCGCCTGATCCTTTGCATTCGGGCATACTACGCCAAGCTCGTTGCCGATTCCGACGCAGCAACTGTTACGACCTCAATCGCTTTCCAGGAGCGCATGCATATATTGACTATCAGTGGTGTGTGATACTCGGTGGAGTTAACCCCTGCAAGAAGCAGCGGAATTTCCTTTAATTTAATCTCACTTCGTTGAAGTATTGATTAGTGTTCCGAAGTAGATTTCAAGGAGATGTACAAAGTTTCGTCGGATTATTTAGTCAAATGGTTTGCTATACGCGCTGACAATGGTTAAATCAAAGTCCTGAATATCTCCGCTGGCACCAGCTGCCCACCCACACTTGCACCGACCACCGGTTTTTGAGTGATGACAATCATTGCTATGTTTGCTTGGGAAAATGGGCATGCAAGAGTGGCAGTGCGCAGTTTCAGCTACTCAGAAATCCGTCCTCGATTCATCTTTTTGTCTCATTTAATGTCCACCCTTGTCTTCTCACCCGAGTCGCGCCAACTGGCTTACAGAAAATTAACTGTATTTAGGATAGTTACTGAAACATTACTAGTGGATACATGTGTACTATTAAACATCGTGATACGAAGGTCATGCGTGAGTTTGAATGCTTTCTGTACCTGAGACCCAGCGCCTCTGGGGAGTCAGGCGAATCTGAAGGAATATAGGGTACTAACAGCACACAAACATAACACAGCTCATTGATGTGACGCACCTAGGAACGGAAATGCAGGGACCAGCATCAATGATAGTGCAGGAGTCGAGCATCTTTTGCTTGATTTCAGGTGGTGGACGTGATAGCGAGTTTGAGAAAGGAAGGAGCCAATTTCTTGATGTAGCTGGCTGGTGGCAGAGACCGCCTCTCGGACATAGCGGGACTTGGAAAGCGATTATGTGGATGCAGCTAAGATGTCTTGAAAATGACATCGACGATGTGGTCTTGATTTAGGTTTTCGGATGTGGAACATGTATGGGGGAGTGCTTCAGGTCATGGTGGTGCTCTAAGAGATTTGGGGGTATCGAAGAAGGGAATGTTCCATGATCTTTCAAATGTGCTGTATGTGAATTGTCCTAAGAACATGTGAGTATGAGAGGCCATTCAGAAGATTTCAGGCACGCGAGAGTGATAAAACATTTGAAAACAAAAGCACGTCAAATTGTCAATTAGACTTTAGAACACGTGGCTGCAAATTTCAAATACCGTGCTTCGCCTTCAAGATTGTCAAGATCGATCAGACCAGCCGGAGCTCTCGACTGTCTATAGTTTGAACTTCGCGCTGAGGGTACTCGTCTGATATATTCTTGTTCCCAAATGCCCATACCCGCTTTAGCGTCATAAACCAGCTATACCACTAGTTTGACATTCGCACGGTCCGCGACTGGGTACGCCAGCTTTCCCAGTGTTCCATGACATCCCACTTTTTCAAGGTCTAACAAAGGCCACATGATGAAATAATACAGCTTGTTCACAGCAAGTCTACATCCACGGTGAGCATCCCTTCTTTTTTCAATTATTTTTTGCGGTGTAGTCCCAGGCATCGTTATGGTGGCTGGTTTATGCGAAATATAGACGGCGTTCCAATCCACATTCCCACTCAGGCTACCCTACGAATGTGTGAGTCAACAGGAGGGCATCAAATGCATGATGGATTCAATGTGGCACATTTTGGATCAGTTTTTGTTGGAATAAGCGTTGATGTGCATTGCAAGGTAGCTGTATGACCCGGTGAGTTATTCCCTCGACTTTTTCAAATCACCAACTTTCTGATGGTGTACCAACAGAATGTTATCGCCTTCAGCCATTGTGCATCTGAGCACCGGTTTCTCTCATCTTCTCTCTCAACGATTTTTGATACAGGGGTGATGTTGTATCTTCATCATACATCAATCACAGAATCTCACATCTCTGGTGAAATGCAGTGCCACCGCACCAACCCCACGATACAAACCAAACATTCTGGGCTCACCATTTCTGACATCCAGATGATATGGTAGCCCAATTTTCGAGGCAGAGAGCGAGAGGGTGCGCATGAAGCGACAGACCTAAGGGTGAGATGAGACATCGAGACATATGCTCGCTGGGAGGTATTGGTAGCTGGAGTAGGATGCAAATTTGCTTCTTCGTGCGATTTGACGGCTGACTTTCCTGTTCCAGCGTCTTGCCGACGCAATGTCCATTTGCTGAGTGACCTTGGATGAGCTGTTATGCTCCCCGGGTTTGTGCAGGAGAGGCGAATAGAGATGAGATAACAGGCTTTCCGATGGTCGCACCATGATCAGTATGTATCAAACAGATGAAGGTAGTACTTGGTTGCATTAATGAACTGATGCACGTGTAGCAAAATCATTTCGAGAATAGTATCGGAAACAAGGTGACAAGATCACAAAAAGTTCTCGATGTTGCTTGATCTTTTGCGGAGTTCAAGTGTTTCAGTCATTCAGATGTTTTACGACCAACATCTACTATAATCCCCTGGATTGATTTATCTTTGCTCATGCAGAAATATCCACTTTGACCAATCAAAGCAGGAACGGTCATCATCTCCTGATCTCGTTTTGCTGATCTATGTACCGGATGGTAGTATAACTAGCACGAATGCCATCGTCTTACGTCCACCAAGTTCACCTCTCACCCACACCCATTCTCTACCAGTATGACCATGATCTCAAATGATCCCACTTGGTGGCCAATCTTCGATGCATTTCGTGTTCAAAGCTATTTTGTAGGTTCGTGGAGAGCAGTCGGATGTTGAAGCTGACACAATCTAACCTTGGCTTTTGTTTCGCAGTCGCCGCCTTTGTTGCAGCGATATATGATTGGGGTGAGCATGATATCATTAAAAAACTGCTGACGTCTTACAATTATTTTCAGCACTTACATTCGGACAAGAGGTATGTCGTTACTATTAACGGAGCTGCCATCTCGCTGAGAACGGCTTTATAGGTGGAATTGATCTGGGTGAGTAGAGTCTGGTGTCAGAGGAACACATGAAAATACACTTGATTCCAGAGACAACGATGGTCCGTCATGACAGTTATGTATCTCGGCGTATGTAGCTTGTTGGTCGCAGTCGCCATGTTGTGCTGACTTGAAAGTATCCTAGGTGCGTTACCTTGGAATCTTATCCGCTGTGTATGTCTGGAAGGCTACACAATCGGTGTTGTGCTAATCGTCTATCTCTCATAACCAGCCTGATCATTCTGAGTATGTCCCCTCAGTACATTCGCTGTCTGTGCTTGTTCTGACCAACGACATTCAGGCAGTGTTCCGACTATCTCATCGACAGATACGGTGAGTCTTCTGCACAGATACTTGCTATTCCCCTCCAATTAACCGTGATGCCCTGTAGCAGTGGGTGTGGTTCTTTGCTAACTTCTTTGTTCACTAATGACTGCCATGCTATACTGCCACAGATGTGAGTCTGTTTGGACTGTGCTACCCGAGGACGATCACTGACCGGATTTGTCAGGCTGGATTATCTACACCGTATGGAATTGGATTGATGTTGTGGTATTTGCAATGCTGTCGGGTGAGCTTTGCACTTGCGAGACCTCAGTGATATTGACTTGACTGAAACATGGTGCAAGTCATCATCATCGCTCGGTTGCATGTGATGTATCAAGGATCCAGAAAGATCCTGATATTTCTCATTGTCACCTTCCTGGCTATCAACACTTTCGATGCAGTGGTCACCATAATGATAATGATGCATACTTCAGGGGGTGGGTTTAATTGTGAATGAAAATAAATGTGCATTGGGCTCATTGATGGTTACCAGAGAGATGGATCCGAGTGTGTGGGTGATAGTCACAGCAGTGAATATTGATTATGAGAGGAGTTAGACGCAGGTGCAGAGAAATGAGAGTTGAACTGAGTGTGATCGTGCCACATGTCTAGCCATGTCTCTGCAGTGTATTTTAATGGAACAAAATTGGAGGGATGATAAGTCACTCACAATTTTATCTTGAGCAAGAGGTACATCGATGGTGCGTGTGGGATGACCTCCGGAAAACAACTTGAAGTTGAAATTCCAGTGTTGGGACTGTCGTTCAATTGGTTGGGATGCATCTACAGGTCGTGTGCCAAAATGTATGAAACTGAGAAAATGTGTAAAGAGTGCTAGTCCGAAATGAAATGAAATGGACAGGCACACCGAAAGTGTAGAGAGATGGTGACTTGCTGTAACGAGCAACAGGTACACTGAGATTACAGTGTATGATTACACTGAGTTATACTTACAAATACAAGTTAGACACCATATACAACAGCCATGGTTGCTGTCATGAAGACAGGCGAGTAAGCCTCGTACTGTGCGACGTTGAAAGAAGCATTGACGACCACCAGACAGTCGGTCCATGGCTCAAGGGACCTGTCGTTACCAGGCTCGACAGTCTCAATGGGAACATACTGATAACCGCCAAGAGGAGTAACGACAGTGGTCTCATTGGCAAGAACAATCTTGTTGGCAAGGTTGGGAGGGAAACATCAGATGTGATGACCTTTGCACCTGGAATGCCGGTGAGAAAAATAGAACAATACAGAACAAACAAACTTACCTCGTCGAATTGAGAGACGGTGAAAGGACTCCAGAACATGTCAGATGATTATGATTGTGCCGCGACGAAAGTTTGTATGGCGACCAGTAGGAATGTTCTGATTTGGACATGGTTGACTTCGGATGTAAGTAGTTACAAGTGTGAATGTATGAATAGGAACGAGGAAAGGGACAAAAACAAAAATGCAGTTAAATTGCTTCGCCAGTTCAGGGTTCAGAGCAACTCTGTACGCCCTGGCCGGGTCTGCATTCACACTGGGATCAGCTCAGAATTCGAAGCAACTTCGGACTGCCCTGGCCAGCCCAGGTAAAAAGAGAAAGTGTGGGGGCGAAGTTGACAGAATGAGTACTCACTTCCACGAGTTTTTGCTGTGTCTTGGGGAGATCGATTAATTCCCACGGGTTCGGAAACTTCCTGGCCAACCCGGGCCCTGAGCAACTCGTGCCGATCAGACTTGAGTTCAATGTGGAGCATCATAAGATGTGCGAGACCTTTGTATGGAATCTGAATGGTAAGCCTCTTGTTTAGAGTAGCTTTCATTGCTGATGCCATTTAGATCCTTCCATCACTCCTGAGCATTTTGCGCAGATGCTCGTCAAGGATTATGCGCTACCCTGGAGTTATCACGGCGTCATCACGCCACGTTGACGGCGACTGGAAAAGAAGTGCGTCGTTTTTATATTGCTGTCATTTATCTACTGACTATTGCTATCCTTGCTCTGACTTCCTGCACTTACTTCACGAGTTCCCTAGTATGTCGCACAGACTTGTGAATCGATACTTATCGCAAAATCATACCAGATAAAAACAATACAGCAGGAACCACACACCGATAGGTGGCCTGTCGTTACTCGATCTTTTGAAAGTAGATGCCACTCTTATGGCAACCCGAGCGCCAAGCAGGGCATTTCAGACATGGATATTCTCTTTACTCTCATGCAAGCTTACAAAGTTCTCGACAAAGTAGGCTCGTTTTCCATGAATCAAAACATGATATTCATGTATGAATAGATCTCATTCGACATGTCTCTCGCCCGCGGTCTAGACTACGACCATGCAAGACATCCAAAGGCATGTTTCTGTCTCTGACTCTGAATATACCACAAATCGAGCATGTTTCTTGCAGACTATTGCCACCACAACAGTCCGCGATGCATGCATAGATGGAGACTTATATACTGACGAAGAACTACTCATGCAAGATATCAATACCGATCCAAACAACCATACTCCCTACGTCCATCACTCAAAGGCATGTTTTTGTCTCTGACTCATATACCACAAATCGAGCATGCTTCGTGCAGATCCTAGCCATCACGACCCCCCGTATTGCATGTCTAAATGGAGACTTATCTACCGCCAAAGGACTACTCACTCAAGATATCAATACCAGTCCGAACTATCATACTTCCTACGCCCATCGGTCATTCGTCATGGCACAAAAATGCGACTGGGACCGCGCCCTTCTGGATGCAATCAAGGTGAGAATTAGAGTGTGTCGTTGCCCACCAGTCACAGGCTTGCAGCTCAACTCACTTTTGCCAAATACTCGGAAGACCTTTTCGGCCGTTGCCCATACAATAGCCAACTAGTATATCGAAAATGGTGGTCTTCGCTTGTGCTTCTGCTTCGATCGTAGGCAAGCACTTGTATGGTAATATATATCACATTATTCCGCCTCGCTTTAATCTGTATCATACCCAGCACCATCAAAAACTGGTTTTTGTATATTAGCAAAGTCTTTCAGAACGACAAGGTGCGCAAGATGCCTGTGAGACCTTGTGAAGTTAGTGAGCCAAACGGGCAGATGTTTCATCATGGCATCTATGATGAAGACCAGGATCCTCATGATGGGTTATGGTTGATGAGTAGACTCGTATTTGGAATTTGGTTCGCCTCCAAGAGGCGTTGCCATCTCATACACTTTTGTACCATATGGTTTGCTTGCTTCTCATCTTCTCTGCTTGCTTCCACTGCATGTTAATCCTCTGACATGTCTCCCGATCACCAGCATCTCTTATCTCTTTTCCCCCACCTCCGAATTGTCCAGTCGCTCCCTCCATAGCCTGGTGCACTGATCCAGTATCTTTACACTTTGTTACTCATCAATAGTTCCTCTATTGGTGAGTAAACATGTTCTTGCAGTTGTAACACATTTTTAAATATAACTCTTAGTAAAATGACGACCCGGTATCGTTGCAGCAAGTGTTTGACTCGCATATGTGCTGCATATTTTGCTGCAGATGCTTCCCAGGTATGGTTTTTATTTTCCTGTAGCCATTAAACTCACACCGCACTCCCTGTAGCAAATATGCCACTGCACCCACTCAATAACATCTCACAGCAAAACTCCTCCACATCCAGAACCTCCAGTGTTTCCACCTCGAGGAGGTGCTGGCTTGTGTCGTGAATATCGCAGCCTTCACAATGCACCGGTAGGCAGAGCATAATTTGTTTTGTGCTTTTGTTTACTCACCATTTTTTGGTATCAAGATTCATCATTATTACCAGTTGTGTATGTGCGGGCAGCCTTACAGTGCCCACACCCCTTGGTCATCCAATCTGTGCTCCCATATTCCATACTGTCATTGTCATCTTCCTCTGTAAACCATTCCAGTGTACAGTCTAATCTGTCAGGGCATGCTGACGATCAGTTCTTCACTAATATGGCCTCTCACTCTATCCCTCAATACCAGGCCAGTACCACTTCAAACCGACTGGCAACCATCTCTGGACCTTCACTGGTCAATGCATATACTATGTCTGTACATCGTCCTCCCCCCCAATCTCAAGGGGCACCAGTCACCCGTGGCCACATGGCATTTGGAGTGCCAATGGCAGGTGTCTCAACCAGTTCTACCAGCTTGCGGGGGCATACACGTGGTCGTGGGCAACGAATCACAGTCAGTGCGCCATTGCGTACCATCCATGCTCAACTCATTCTCATGCCAAGAGATGTAAGTGACGTCAATGCTGTGGTATCTATAGCTATTCTGACCTGTGTTACAGCCCATGTATGATTACACTGAGGCAGATGATAACCATGTAGGCCATGTGAGGCGCATGCGCGATGGTGAAGGATTAGCATCTGACCTCCACTTTCTCACCGAGCATGGGCTTACTCGCATGGTGAACTTGTCAGGCCGCAAAGGCGATTCACTCATGAACCAGATCGTTCATGAGGTCACACAGATGGCTCATGATGGCCACCTGCAGTTCCCAGCATGGCAAGCTGACAATCTTCCACTAGCTACAGATGCACCCAACCGTGATATCCGCCTGAAATTCCACAGTTTGCCTTTCCGTTTTCTCCAACCTGGCAATTCCAATGGGAGCCGGGGCAGGCGCTACTTAAATGTCGATGCCGCCTTCAATTTCCAATCTTTGGAAGTCTCGAAGTTTTTCAAGCGATGTGACCATATAAAGAGCCCTGAAGATTCCAATGTGTCGCTCATCTATCTCTGTTTGTCTTGCACTTAATTTTGCATATTCTAAAATACTAATGGTGCATGTACTAGGTCCGAAAGGGGGCGATGTTATTGGACCGTTGATCAAGGGCTCAATATATCCCCACCACTGTTTTGCCGACCGTATTGCAACCTATTTAATTCAAAGCTATGAAGACACCGCTGGGATCACTGACCATTTCACAACTCCGCCTTGTGCTACCACATGTCCTCCTGAAGATTCACTAGGCACACCTGCATCGTCTACTTCTCAACTGAGCCTATTGTCACCCGCATTGCTGTCAAGTTCCATTCCATCCTCACCAACCCCATCTCCCTCCTATGCCAGTCTTTCTCCTCGCCCAGAACTCCCATCTACACCTGCCACCAGCGAGTCACCTGCAGCCATGACATCGGTGGGCAGTAGTACTAGTATCTCATCATCAAGCCTAGTACCTCGCTACAGCAATCGTGATCGATCAGCATCACCCCAATGCAGGGACATTGGTCCTGTATCTCATGGTCGAGCTCAATCTCATGGGCATTCATATCGCCTAATTCCATACTCTGAACGTCATTCAGAGTCATCATCTTCAGGGGATATTACATCTGGTCATTGGCTTATTCCAGCATCGTCATCATTCCCTAGTCCTGAAGCCACCACTTCTGCCACTGACACACCATCCACGCCACTGGACCAGGAAAGATTTATAGACTTGCGCCCATTGGTCCAATTTATACCACGCCGCCAAAATCAACAACCCCGATCTCCTTTACTACTACGTCCTTACCCTCAGCCCTCTACTACAACGTCCCCCATGCTCTCAGGCCTACCATCTTCTGAGGATACTAGTGGCTCCATTTCCGAAACCAGCTCCTCTCTGCCCAGTGAAGTGCATTCCCCAGCTCTAGAGAGAGCACAGCATGGTCGCACATCAGTACCCACCTATGATCACTCCCTCGTCCCTTTGGTGCCTTTCAGGGCAGACAATCTCCATGATCTGACAGATCTGCGTGAGGGGATTCATTACTCGGCAGATTCAAAGTACCATGGTGCAACTTTCTATGTTGAGGCTGATGTCCTTTCAGATGCTGCTGATGGTATTATTGACTTCTTCAAATACCAAAGGCAGTTTTCCGATGTAGACTCAGACATCCGGGACTTGTCTGATACCTTTGCGTTCACAAATCCTGATGCCAAGAGCAGTTTTCGAGTCCGATGGGGCACTGAAGGGAGGGACTGCACGCTAACTCATAGCGATGTTGAGAACATATTCTCAATGTCAGTCTGGCAATTTCGAGCGTACGTGATACAACTTTTTCATCGTGCACACCCTCATTGACCTAAATACCAGTGGTCATCCAGAGGCAACAGACAGTATCGGCGATGGGCCAATGCGACAGATTCTGGATACAGCTATGAGACGGTGTCTAACCTGGAAGCCTGACATAGGTTCTGGTGACGATGAGGATGTGATGGATGTTGATGGCGATGTCAGTTCATTGCTCGATGACGGCTATGTCTCACTCAAGCTTTCGAGATTTCCATCACCCGAGAAACTCGACATCATTTTTGCTCTTGGACGCATATGTGCGTGGTACCTGGTCAAGATCAACAGTGGACCGGATCTGATTTCTCCTGCTTTGCTTGAGCTGGTTATGAATGGTGTCAGCTCCATCATGGATGAAAAATGGCTTTCTACACTCTACCCAACACTTGCAGATGTTCTGAGTGTGGTTCCCCCAGATGATCAGAATGGACAGTGCCTTCCTCGTGAACCTAAAATGCGATCACAGATCACCCGCATCTGTCATGTCTGTTTGGACACCACTGTATGTGCTCATATACTATATGGTTGGCTAGATGAAGTTGACTAAACCTGTATCACTAGTTTAATGAGATCTATCGCACTGGGACTGAACAATGGCCAGCCGTTCGTCGTGACTTCTTTTGTAGTGCCCTTTTAGGCTACTCCTACGAGTCTTTTGTTAAATCACAGGAATACAAGGCGTTCACAACAGGCTTTGATATCTACCTTACATCATCTCTGCCTTCAATCACCAAGGTATGTTCTCAGCAAATTTTAACCAATGTTAGGTATTTATATCTTTCTAGGCCCTACAGCACCATTCCAAGCCAATTCTGCAGCATATCTTCAACAAACGTTTAACAGCAGTTAAAATAAGCCCATTGTTACGCTTTGAAGTTGATGGAGATGTGATGTTCCATGCATGCATGTCGCCTCTTCTGGAGGCCTTGAAGAATGCGGTGATTCGTTACTTGGAGGGAGAAGGACATCCAGACCATGATGCATTTCATGATCTTGTAGATCCTGATCATCAACCAGGTCCTGATTATCGTGCCCAGCGTTTTGTCAAGGTGTTAAGCGGTATCCCTACTCTACCTGCTGACCCTTTGACAACGTTTAGAGTAAGTCATTTGACTACTATCTGGCCTGTACATGCACTGACATGGGTGGGTAGATTGCATTAATTCAAGAGGTGTCAGACGCTGCTACTTTTCATGGTCAATTCAATGTGCGTTTCTGTTTGCTATCTGATGACTTGGACACTCATTCATATGCCAATAGGCCGATCGCGATATCATTCCACCAATGGTACATACCTGCATGTACAAGCTGAACGTCTTCATGAATGCTCCCCTCATCAAGTGTCTTCAAAATCCACCAATAGATGTGTCTCAAGTCACTGCTCTTGATGTATGCCTACACATGGCGCTCATAGAGGCAGGTGATGATACATTCAATGCACGAATGCCTTTATTCGTGTGACCCACCGCCATTCTCTTCTCGCATTTTGCTGATGTTACTGCTTTTTGAACTGGACTGCACGCATTTTCTCTACTAACCTGTTCATTCAAGTTGCACGACTGCTGCTTTCATTTTCTCGTACTGCAACATTTCCACCACTGCTCTTCTACTGCTCTTCCCTCCATGTCTTTCTCCACGTCATCAGCCCATATTGTACCTTCATCGCAGCGCTGATTAATTTTGCTCCTCCTGCACTGTTCTCATATCGCACTGTTCTCATACTGCACTTCCCTGACTTTGTCCACGTCATCAGCCCATATGGTACCTTCATCGCAGCGCTGATTAATTTTTTTCATATGTCCTGCACGCACTGTACTTGCCATTTCTCGACACAATTCCTTACTTTAGCTGTTGTTCTCAGATAACACACCTCGTATATTGCTGCATCCTGCTACATGACTGTGTATGATTCAAGTTGTTCGTATCATACTTATGGGCCCTTTGTGCCGAAGTACCTCTCGCTCTCGAAGTTCCACTCATAGTTCGAGCACACCCAGTTTCCCAAGCCATCACACCTTTTGCACACTCTGACCCTGTTTGTATTCAATCTCCTGTGCCTTTCGAATACGTTGAACGAGGTTGTTGCAGATGGATTCTCACCGCTCGGGCACAAGTTATATCTGCTCCTCCTGCACGTCAGAAGTCTCTGTTGCTGCTGCTTTTGCATGGGGCTTGAGGTGAGGCACGCTGGTCGCCTGAGATCATCCTATGAAAGTATCAAATTAGTATCCGTACATCATCACACATAAAGTTGAACAGCAATTCCTCCTAGCATAATGTTCACGCCCTGTCTCAATGATGTGAACGTCAGGCAAAATATGGGATGATGTGCATACCATCAAAGCACTTGTCTTTATGTTGGCAGCATGCGCAGCGGATGCGCCTCCCACAGCTTGTACAATCAAGTAAATGATGTCCTAGGAGGAGGCAAGATATGAGGAATTAACACCGCTTGAATATATGATACTAACAAAGCAACAGAAAACGATGGTATCTAGCCACCACTAGGTCCCGACCTGGATGACGGCGACCACTGATGCCCTGAAAAGGACGTGATGTCAGCAGCAGGCTAGAAGACCAAAGTAGAATGTACCCTCTCATCTGACCCTCGAACTTACAAGCTGCGAGAGTTGGGTGGACCGGGGTGCCTAGACCATGGTGCAGGCCAGTACAACTGACCGAGGAGATACTGAGAGTGAGAGGCACAGGGCGGAGAGAAGTCGGACATCTGAGAACCCCGGCAAATGTGGCCACCAGACGCGCTTGAAGAGGATCAGATGGACCCAGGTCCTATCCACTGTGCCATCCACGCTGTGAGTGGTCACAACCCGCTACTAGTAAACTAGCCCTGGCTTGATCTCTGTGCTTGTGGTTCTATCTGGGTAAGTTTTGAAGTGGCAGCACCAGCGAAAAGCACGGAGAGAGTGGGATGAGACATGTCAGCATACCATCTGGACACCATTGCTAATGAGAGCCGAGTGCCAGGCGGGCAGTACTGTAACTGGTAATTGATTAATTACTATACCAAGCAAGTGCTGGTACCAGCGTCACGCACCCGCCATACTGTGACCAGTGACCAGTGACCCGACATGCAAAGGGCGGGGCCCGCCTTGAGCTCACCATTGATAACGGTGAGCATGGGATGACTTGAGCCAGCAGGTGGACCACTTTTGTGCCATGAATAGAGTTTTGAGAAGCAACATGGATGACTTTTGTGCATGACATCCTGATTTGGTAGCCATGTGGACAACTTTTGTGAAATGATTTAGAGTTTTGAGAAGCCATGTGGATGACTTTTGTGAAATCAATTCGAGTTTTAGTTATAACATCGATTTATTTACTTTATCGTTTTGATTTTATTTTGTCCAATATGGTCCCTCATACCTACCAGTCAATATTTCCACACGCTCCTGGAAAGCAATTGAGGTCATACCAGTTGCTGCATCAGAATTGGCAACAAGCTTGGCATGGTATTCCCAAACGCCAAGGATCAGGCACGGTCCCAGCACAGACATCTGCACGACTGTCAAAATCTGAACAAACCCATAAATAATCTGATTGTCCAGGGAAATGCTCTATAGAAACGATAAATTGTGGTAGCGTGCATAGGCAAGTGAGAGATTGACATACCGTTAAGAATGTTGGATCTAAAACAAAAATGAGAGAGAAGCAAGAAACAGCAACAAAGCTACCACGTCCGACCCGTCAGTGGAAAAAGGAACAATAATCACAATATGAGCTTACCTCGCAAAGTACACCACATGAGTTTTGACCAACACCGTGAAACAGTCCTCGATAATCCCTCCTGTCGAATGTTGTTGCAGTTCACGGATGTGTTTGGCCGCAATCCAGACTGCAAGACATAATGCGATGACTTCCCACACGGTGGCGATTATCCAAGGAATGGAATCTAGAAATATGATATCTCCCGGATAGTCAATCTGGGACTGATAAGTGCCGGAGAGAATGAGTCCCTCTGGTATCAATGAGTCTCGTGCACGTTTATTTTCATTCACAATTAAACGCACCCCCTGAAGTATGCATTGTTGCCATTATGACAGACACTGCAGCGAAAGTGTTGATAGCCAGGAAGGTGACAATGAGAAATATCAGGATCTTTCTGGATCCTTGATACATCGCATGCAACCGAGCGATGATAATGACTTGCAGCATGTTTCAGTCAAGTCAATATCACTGAGGTCTCGCAAGTGCAAAGCTTACCCCACAACATCGCAAATACCACAACACCAATCGAATTCCATACGGTGTACATGATCCAGCCTGACGAATCCAGTCAGTGATCGGCCTCGGGTAGCACACTCCAAACAGACTCACATCTGTGGCAGTATAGCATGGCAGTCATTAGTGAACCAAGAATTTAGCAAAGAACCACACCCACTGCTACAGGGCACCACGGTTAATTGGAGGGGAATAGCAAGCATCTGTGCAGAAGACTCACCGTATCTGTCAATGAGATAGTCGGAACATCGACTATATGTCATTGGTCAGAAGAGGCAAAGACAGTGAATGTACTAAAGAGACGTACACAGCATGTACAGGCTGATTGTGAGAGATAGACAATTAGCACAACATCGAGTGTGTAGCCTTCTGGACATACACAGCGTATAAGATTCCAAGGTAACGCACCTAGGATATTTTGAAGTCAGCACAACATGGCGACTGCGACCAACAAACTACATACGCCGAGGTACATAGCTGTCATGACGGACCATTGTTTCTCTGGAATCAAGATTATTTTCATGTGTGTTCCTCTGACACCAGATTCTACTCACCCAGATCAATTCCACCTATAAAGCCATTCTCAGCGACATGGCTGCTCCGGTCATAGCATTGACATACCTCTTGTCCGAATGTGAGTGCTGAAAATAATTGTAAGACATCAGTAGTCTTTTAATTTTATCATGCTCACCCCAATCATACATCACTGCAACAAAGGCGGCGACTGCGAAACAAAAGCCAAGGTTAGTCAGCTTCAACATCCAACTGCTCTCCACGAACCTATAAAATAGCTGCCCAAACAATATGCATCGATGGCCGACCACCAAGTGGGATCATTTGAGATTACGGTCATATTGGTAGAGAATGGATGTGGGTGAGAGGCGAACTTGGTGGACGTAAGATGATGACATTCGTGCTAGTTATACCACTATCCGGTAAGTAGATCAGGGAAATGAGATCGGGAGATGATGACCGTTCCCGCTTTGATTGGTCGAAGTAGATATTTATGCATGAGGAAAGATAAATGAATCCAGGGGATCATAGTAGATGTTGGTCGTAAAACATCTGAACGACTGAAACACTTGAACTCCGCAAAAGATCGAACATCAAGAACTGACTGTTCGTGGTCTTGTCGTCTTGTTTCCGATGCTATTCTTGAGATGTTTTGCTACACATGCATCGGTCCATCAATGAAATTAAATGCTATTTCATTTGTTTGGCACATGCTGATCATGGTGCGACCATCGGAAAACCTGTCATCGCCTCGCCAGCACAGGCCCGCGGAGCATAACACCTCATTCAACAAATGTACATTTGCGTCAGCATGACGCCAGACCAGAAAAGTCAGCCATCAAAAATAGGGAGATTCGCATGAAGAAACGAATTCGTGTCCTACCCTGACTACCAATACCTCCCAGCGAGCATACATCTCAATGTCTCATCTCACCCTTATGTAGGTCATCTGTCCCTTCATGTGCGCCCTCTCGCTCTCTGCCTCAGAAATTGGGCTGCCATATCACCTGGATGCCAGAAATGGTGAGCCCAGAATATTTGATTTGCATCGTGGAGTTGGTGCGGTGGTGAAAAGCATCAGGATTCACCAGAGACGTCTTGGTTGAGATTGAGTGATTAATGTATGATGAAGATGCAACATCACCCTTGTATCAAGAGAGCATTGAGAGAGGAGATAGGAGAAAATGATACTCAGATGCACAATGGCTAAAGGCGATAACATTCCATTGGCACACCATCAGAAAGTTGGTGATAAGAAGTTGAGGGAATAACTCACTGGGTCATAGCTACCAATGCACACCATCAACGCTTATTCCAATGAAAACTGATCCAAACCATGCCACACTGAATCTATCATGCAGTTGATGCCCTCTTGTTGACTCACACATTTCTAGGGTAGCCTGAGTGGGAATATAGATCAAAACGCACTCTCTATATTTTGCATGAAACAGCTACTAGAACGATGCCGGAGACTACACCGACACCGACTGACGATCAAAATTCGAGATTTGAGAGTTCTTGTGGCATTAGAGCCCTTGCATGCTAACAGCTTATACAAAGCCGGTTCTGTATGGGTTTGCTTAGCGAAGAATAATCAAAAAAGGATGGGACGCTCACCGTGAATGTAGATGTGCTGTGAAAAACTCGAGCAGCTGTACGATTTCATCAGGTGGTCTTGGTTAGGCTTTGAAAGAGTGGGATGCCATGGCTAAGGACTAAGGACTTACTACTTCGATTTGGATGTTGGCGTACCCGGGTGTGGACTGTATGAATAACATACAATATCGCACTAGTCTGGTTTATGATGGCATGGGAATTTGGGAACAAGCAGCCTTAGTGCGAACAGACTCCAGTCCAGTGATCGATCGAAAGCTTGGCGAAGCACGGAGTTTGAAATTGCAGCGATGCATGTTGCTCAGATTGCCTCACAGACTTTGTTTGAGATATTTTATCACTTCGAATTCTGCGTGCCTGAAATCGTCTGAATAGTATGTGTTTGCCTCCCATGCATACAATCTTCTCGCGACTTAATTCACAATGCAGCACATTTCAAGGACCATGGAACACTCCCTTCTTCGATACCCTCAAATCTCTTAGAGTACCACTATGACCTGGATAGGGTTCCGGGAATTAGGGTATGGCGTCTGGTTGACCGGCAAATTAGCATGGCCCTCGCAGAGGGCCAAATTTACAGGTGTGAATGACACGAAATTCACGCAAATTTACTGACGGGGGTTCGGGGGCAGAGCCCCCGAAAGCTCTAGCTTTTTGACGCTAATTTGCATTAATTTGCAGGTGAATTTCACCTAATTGACTGTAATCTACTCCACAGACTCCCATATCTCCCACTCGCCATCCATCGGTGTCGTCGACGAAGTCACAGCATCAGCTGTCAGCTTGGATGGAGGTCCGTGACTCACGGGAGCCGGCTCAAGCTGCACAGGCTGGTCTGAGAGAAGATCGAGAAGGAATCCTGATGCTAAGTTAATGTGATCACCAACATCGAACCTGTCGCTGTCTTCTCCATCGAGGCTCACATCATCATCATCATCATCATCAGGCCACTGTCCCTCACTGGTCTCGTCATCTGAGTCGCTCATGGCAATATCTCGTTTCATAGGTGGTCGGGCAGGTGGTGGAACAACTGTTGGCTTCTCAGGTCGTTGATCACCAAGGATGGTTGCGTGCATATCATCATCATCATCAGGCCACTGTCCCTCACTGGTCTCGTCATCTGAGTCGCTCATGGCAATATCTCGTTTCATAGGTGGTCGGGCAGGTGGTGGAACAACTGTTGGCTTCTCAGGTCGTTGATCACCAAGGATGGTTGCGTGCATATCATCATCATCATCAGGCCACTGTCCCTCACTGGTCTCGTCATCTGAGTCGCTCATGGCAATATCTCGTTTCATAGGTGGTCGGGCAGGTGGTGGAACAACTGTTGGCTTCTCAGGTCGTTGATCACCAAGGATGGTTGCGTGCATATCGCACCATTTGATCGAAGGAGCCGTTTTTGACACCGCTGACTGAATTAGATGTACATGAGTCTTTCAATAGTCCAAATGAGCAAGAGAAACTTACATCAGGTTTCCAGCGGTGCCACTGGCGAATTTGAATGGTTTCTTTTAATGTTGCGATGTCTTGTCTGCTCCGAGTAGGACTATTGAGCCACATTATGATCGACATGGTCCTCTCATCAGCCATTGACACTGGTACCACAGAATATAGCTTGATTGCAAGAGCCTGACACAAGAACAGAACTTTAGTGAAATGAACCAATCGAGTAAAAGACTTTATCACCCCAAGAACCTGCGCATTTTCATCCTTCTGGACAGCTAGCCACCAATCCCGAACATTCTCATTTTTACGAGGCTTGCGGTTGAAAGGATCTGTGCCTTTGTAATACTCCTTGAGCTCGACCTTCATTGACTGCAGAGCCTCTCGTGGTGTCAATCCAGCCAAGCGTGGATTCCTCTCGTTCATGAGTTTTGCAGCAACTTGGTTCGACCTTACCCCATCATAAACATTGCCGTATTCATGCTTTAACATGCGCTGGAGACTCGTGCCAACTCTCTTGATAATTGCATCTTCAGGGGACACAATAGCATAGGTTCCATTAGATTTGCTTAATTGAATAGGCGGCAAGTCGAGAGGATTGATATTTTTGTAGATCTGCGCTGCTCTATATTCTTCCGAGATCCAATGGATCAGTAAGCTCCAACGACCATATTACACATCGCTCACCTGGGTTCAAGAAAAATGCTGTGATATATGGATCATTTGGTGCATCGTTGATCATCTGTTTGAACCGTGCATTAGTAATTGTACGAATGGCAGTTTTGGTCTCTTTGTGTAGTCGAATTGTATTGCCCTGAATCAGTTGTTCCATCTGGGCAACAATGGCAAGCCAGTAGAGATAGACATCTGCGCAAGTTGTTTGGGCTGATTCCAGACATTGAATTGCTTTTGCGTAAGGCCCCGTGACTGCTACGAGTTTCGCAAGGTCAACTTGGAACATCAGAGAATCAGTTGTGTTCTCCTCGAAGAAATGATTTAGGCCCTGTATGAAAAGATATTAGTGGCCAATCTTCACCGACAACAGACGTATCTACCTTGATATCAATCCCCAATTTTGAATCACTGACTATGGCTCGCATTGCTGGTAAACCTCGTTGCAGTGAAGCCGCTGACCAATGGATATTCGCGAATCGAGTTTTGCTGATCTTCTCAAGACCACGACCAATTTTGAGCACGTTGCGCTGGTAATTGAAGTGCTCCATGGCATAGCCTGACTTATCCATGAATGATAGAACCTTTCTCAGATGGCCAGAAATCTGTGGGTAGTACGATAACATCATTGCAGAGCCAAATCTTGAGCCATACGAGTTATTATCACCTCTTTGAGCTCTGGCAGCTGGCATATTTGCTTGCTGCATAGTGATAGCAAATGACATGCATCCTGGAGGTTTAGTATATAGGGGCGTTTTGCCGACAAATCTCTGCGGCTATTCTTTGTGTTTCCTGTGTCATCTGATGACAAGCCAGAGAACCGAAAGGGTCCAATATCAAGAATAACCTATTGTTGTCGAGTGAGCTTCAAATTCATTTAAGCAATCAACGAGTTTAGTACTCACACTTTCCAATAACTCCCCAATATAATGAGCTGTATGACTGAGCATTGATGCATCATCAAGCTCAAATAGAAATGTTCGCCGTTCAGCAGTGGTGACGTGGACAGTGTAGAATGATTTGGGCTTCCGGACCTTCCCACCATCAAACATAATGGTGAGATCGCATTGTGTTTTCAAATAGTTGACCATTGCGATGGTGATTCTTGCACATTCATTTGGGATCAGTCGCTCGGAAAGAGTCGATGCACAGGGAGTCTTGTAGTTCGCATTCAGGGTAGTGCAGAGTGCCCTAAACTCCTTGGAATCAATGATGTCTGGTGGAACTCCAGTGCACGTAACAAATAGCATCAGTGTGTGATCCCCATTCATCTTCAACTGCTTGGTTCCTTCTGTAACATATGCCTTGTTGAATGGCACGACTTGTTTCGAACTTGATGCAGCCTGGAACTCCATTCTTGCTTTCTTCATCGGCCGTTCTGTTACCTCCAATGGAAGAACATTTTCGTTAGAATCCAAGTCCAATGCTGCTTCTGTGACTTTTGCTTTCCCTCCTGTTGCCTGGGACACCATATATTCTCTTGCTTCTTTCCGCCACTCTTTTGCCATGCTTGGACACTCATGGGCAGCGTGCTTCATTATACGTTGTCAAGCTCTTGGCCATGCCCATGTCACATTACACCCACGGCTAGCAATGCACCATACAATTTTGGTAGCAGTAGGATTGCTTGCCAGATGACAAGGCTTTGAAATCTTGCGAAGCAGTGGGTGCATCTTAGCACCACCTTTCCGAGCATCCTCGCCTTCATCAGCAGTGAGGTACCGGTCATCGTCAAAGGTTGAGAGGATATGTGTATCGAGTTTCTGAACCTTCTTTCTTTTCTCAGGTTGATGATTATTGACATTGACTGGCTTATGTTTCGTAGAATCCACTTCGACATCGAGGACCGGCAACTATATACTAGTATGTCAATATTTTATTAGAATTAAGATAAAACTGACTCACAGTATTGCCGGCTGCAAGAATGAGACCTCGTGCAGCTTCGAGAATGTCATATGTCCACTTCTCTAAGAGAATATCGCCTGGATATTTTTTGATCCAAGTTTCGAGAACATCCACAACAGCTTCTGTCTCTGGCCCTCGCTCCATGATTTTCAGGCCACCAGCATGACTGCCAAACCGGACCTCTAATTCTCGGTTGACAGCTGCAGCCTCTCCGATTTCTGCGGTCCAATCGAGATCTGGGCTGAAGTTGGAAAAATTATATGTTGATTCCTTTGGAATAGGAATGTTGGACGGTAGCGCCTTGAGATACTGTTGCAGTTCAGCCAATCTATCCTTGAGATTTGGCTGCATGTGCGCTGTTGGGATTATCAGGGACTGATTGAAGTTCTTAGTTTTTACAATATTTTGGTTGTCATTGGCATAATGATGTTCGACCAAATATAAACCTTATTTCAACTATGTAGATACTAGAGCCACAATAAGCTATGTGAATCTTTCAAGTGTCCGAGCTGTCAGGATTGTCCAGTATATCATATTTAAGCTTTTCAGGTGTTCTGGGTCCAGTAGACACAAATTCACCCAAATTGACACTATGTTTTCGAGGGTGTGAAATTGACACTGTCATTCACAGTAAATTTGCAGGGTAAATTTGCCGGGCTAATTTGCCTGGTGCAAATTCCTGGAACCCTAGACCTGGAGCACTCCCGCACGCACTTTCCAAACACCTCGCAAAGTAAACCACGTGAGTTTCCATCAAACTATGAAACAGTCCCTTATAATTCCTCCTGCCGAATGTTGTCGCAGTTCACGGAAGTGCTTTATCGCAATCAAGACTGCGAGACATAGTGCGATGACCTGCCAGAAGATGGTGAGCAGGACTTTTAATTTGCGCTGTTTGATGTACACCTTCGTTGTAGATAGCTTGCGCATTGGTGCAGGCCGCAACTCTGGTGATTCATAAACGTGTGGAAAAATGTGAGCTTCCACGCATCCTTGACTTGTAATTTTCAGCCTCGACCCTCACCAACACCACCTACTCTGTCCTCCGCAGCCACTTCTATTGCTTTCAAAACCTATATATAGCGCCCACCAACCTGGTGGCTTGTTCGTGCTAGTCACACCCAACTGTTCTGCTCAGAGCGACTCTGTTACTCTGTTTGAAACATTTTATCACTTGTGCGTGCTTGATTTCTTGCGATCATCTACATCTATTCTCATAACAAAACTTTTAAACATAGCACACTTCAAATGTCTCTGAATATTCCCTTCTTAAAGTAATGCCCTCAATATCACTACTTCTCAATTGCACGCACATTCCAAATTCGAAATTCGAAATCAATCTAACATCGACAATATCTTGGCCACATACCAGCTACATCGAGAGATTCGCCTCGACCTCGCTATCACGTCCGCAGCCTGACCTCAAGCAGCAGATGCTCGACTCACGCACTATATTGTTGGTGCTGGTGCCTGCATGTCTGTTCCTGGGTGTCTCGCTTGTCGCTATTTCGAACCACGTCAACAAGCTGTTTTGTTTTGTGTCCAGTTAGCACCCTGAATTCCTTCAAATTCCCCCAACTCCACAGAGGCGCTGGGTCTTGGCTGAAGGATCACGGCCTTCATATCACAAATACAGTACTTGTATCCCCAAGTAGTGCTTCAGCAAAAATCCTAGACACGTTTATATTTATATCTGTATCCCATCTAATGAAAGTGAAAGGCAAAGCTCGTCCACAAGCATTAACCAACTTCAGCCTCCTCAAGACTCATCAAGTATGCCTCGCATCATTAAGCTACGTATGCATGAACATGCTTCGCAAACCTTGTGATCACCTTGAATGGATCATCATTTGTAAGTCAGTTGGCGTGAGTCAGGTGAGAAAATAAGGGTGGGACATTGAATGAGACGAGAAGATTAATCGAGTACGAATTGCTGAGGAACTGAAGCAGTGCGCTGTCACTCGACTTTCCTCTCGCGCGCTGCCTAAGCAAACATATGAATGATTGTCATCGCATAGAGCAAATAAGAACCGGTGGTTGGTGCAAGTGTGTGTGGGGAGCTAGTGCGAGTAGAGATATTCAGGATATTGATTTAAATATTGTCAGCACGTAGTTATGTATAGCAAATCACAATAACACGACGGGAGACTTTGTATGTCTCCTTGACATCTACTTTGGAACACCAGATAACTTCAATCAATACTTCAAGAAAGTGAGATTAAATAAAAGAAAATTCCCGTGCTCTTTGGAGAGCACCGGACAACCGTTAACTCCACCAACTATCACACACCACTGCCAGTCGATATATGCACGCGCTCCTGGAAAGCGATTGAGGTCATACCAGTTGCTACGTCAGAATTGGCCACGAGCTTGGCATGGTATTCTCGAATACCAAGGATCAGGCGCGGTCCCAACACAAACATCTGCACGACCTCAAAAATCTGAAGAAACCAAGAAATAATGTGAGCACCCAGAGAATCAGCCTATAGAAACAATCAATTGTGGTAGCGTGCATAGACAAGTGAAAGATTGACATACTGTGAGGAATGTTGGATAGAAACCAAGAATGAGATGGAAGCAAGAAACAGCAACAAAGCTACCACATCCGACCCGTCAGTGGAAAAAAGGAACAATAATGACAATGTGAGCTTACCTCGCAAAGTAAACCACATGAGTTTTCAACAACACCGTGAAACAGTCCTCGATAATCCCTCCTGCCGAATGTTGTCGCAGTTCACGGAAGTGTTTTACCACAGTCCAGACTGCGAGACATAGCACGAGGACCTCCCATACAGTGCTGAGTATCCAAGTCATAGGTATAAGAAGTAGGATATCTTCCACTTTAGCATAGTTAATCTGGCACTGATAAGTGCCAGAGAGAATGTGTTCCCCCACAGAGTTGCTCTAAATACAAATACAAAGAATACTGTGGAATTTCTTTTGCCAAAAAGTCAATTTTACGATGGCCATTAGCTGTACACTCTAAAGTCACACAAAAGTCACTCGTGGTCATGTGATGTTGGTTGTTTGTGCAAGAGCCCTATCTTATTTCCTGCCACAACATCACCATGCAATGAATGACAGAAAGATCTCACCAAAAGAAGTATATCCTCTGGAAAGAAGGAGATAAGGTTTGGCTATCTATCAGAACAATGGACGGTTCATTCCATGTTCTGTGCTTCTGAACTATCCTCTTATCATGAAGCCAAGATCCATGGTCCAAACTACACAGAGCCACCTCCTGATATAGTCAATGATGAGGAGGAGTATGAGATAGAAGCCATCCTGAGTCATAAAGTGATGGGTAAATGAAGACATTATCTCGTATCTTGAAAAGTAGAGGCAACAAATGGATTCCAGTGGAGAACCTGGCAAACTCTGAAGATATTCTGTTGCCCTGCTGATATTGAGCTATCTAGCTCTAGTGCACCTGTCAAACAGAAGAATGAACCAGAACCAGTCCTCATTCCAGCACCTTCCACTAAAACCCTGCGCTGTTGCTGCAGGAAAGATGTAAGCCATAGGCTGGTCCGCCTTTCTAGAAGTCATTGACCTCACCTCACCTTCTCCATTCTCTCAAAATACCTCTAAAAAGTCATCCTTTGACAACTCACTCTGCAGATACTGCAAGAAGATTGGACACCTCCATAAGAACTGTCCCGAGTACACATGCTGCGTATGCCACATCTTTGCGCCCTGCAGCTTGCCTTAGCCAGACACCTTGATCTCTCAGTCGAGAGTAGAACCCTGCTTGTCACTCTAGCTTCCTGCTAGTACCCAGTTGTAAAAAATACAAATTTGTCAAGGCTGAGATTCTTTATTGAGCTTATTCAAGTGGTTGCCAGAGTCAAAATATATTTCTCTCAAACTAAGCAGGTATGTAATCTATATAATGATGTTTATTGAAAGAACTGACAAAATGCAGATAAATGTGCTTTGAGGATTCACTTTTGAATGAGTTCATTGGAAGTGCATTCAACTAGTCTTAGCCAAGCAGTTAATACAACAGAATCTAAATCTGTATGTGTGGGTTCAAAACCCACTAAAGATGAAATTGTCAAGTGATTGCTAGAGTTGAAATCAGTGTCTCTTGGGCCATGCAGGTTTGAAACCTGTCAATGACATATTTTATTTTCTATAAAAATACTCATTGACATGTTATTGCCACAAATAGATTCACACAACTGCTCTCAGCCAAGCGGTTAATGCGACAGAATCTAAATCTGTCTGCGTGGGTTTGAAACCCGCCAAAGATGAAATTTTCAAGTGATCACCAGAGCTAAAATCTGTTTCTCTTGGACCGTGCAGGTTTGAAACCTGCCAATGATAAAATTCATTTTCTATGAAAACACACCTTGACATATGCTCATGGTCAGTTTGCTTTAAAGCCGCTGAGACTAGTGTTTAGCCAAGTGGTTGTCAAAACAGAATCAAAATCTGTTTCTATCGGAGTGCAACGGGTTTGAAACCAGTGAAACATTACATTTTTTTCTATAAAAAAATGCCTTGAATATTGAATCATAGACAGTATCTCAGACACTTATCTTCATCAGTCTTAGCTAGAGCTGCAACTGATCAACCTTGAGCGAGGAGAAACTGTATCACCAACGTTGATTGAAATAGACTCAGGTTACTAGATGCTGGGTCAAGGACGGTCGAGCTTGATTGGAACGACTGGAATAAGCCTGTGATGTCTCGGCTCAGGGCGAAGTTGTTCCGGAATAGCACCTACGTAAACGATATCAGGCAACCATGAGAAACATACAGCGGGCAGCAAACCAAGTTAGAGATCGCAGTATTGAATAGCACGAGCAATGTATCTTCTTGAGCAGAACGCTCAATACTATGAACACCTATCAAAGAAAGATATCAATGTGAAACGTCCACTGATGGTTTAATTCGACATACCTTCAAAATCCAAAGCAACAATAAGAGCATCTTTAGTCGGAGTTACTGACATCCAAACCCCTTCTGTCGTACGCATGGCCGATCCTGCGAATGATGTATCCACAAGATGGTTCAAGGAAAAGCTCTTCGATTGTTCGCCCATGGACGACACAACTTTGACCGGCTTGAAGAAGATGGCACCGGATAAAGTCAGTATCGCTCGACTCGAGGCGTTCATGTATCATACCTTTTTCGCCATGTATGACTGGAACAAAGACTCATACCAACCAAAAGACAGGTGATTGACAATGCGGTTAACATCTGCACCGAGGAGGGACTTCTCAAGTTCGGTTGGATATATACCATCCTTGAGGATCCAAGGATAGTAGCGCAAGGGAAAGGAAGTGCACGAGGAGACTAAAGACAACTTTGATCAGCTTGCAAGCAAACCGACCATGAGCATATTTCAAGGCGTGTTTTTATAGAAAACAAATGTTGCAACTGGCAGGTTTCAAACCTGCACGGTCCAAGAGAAACAGATTTTAACTCTGGTGATCACTTGACAATTTCATCTTTGGCAGGTTTTGAACCCCACGCAGACAGATTTAGATTCTGTTGTATTAACCGCTTGGCTGAGAGCAGTTGTGTTCAATTCCAATGAACCCATTCAGAAGTGAGTCCTCAAGGCACATTTATCTGCATTTTGTCAGTTCTTTCAACAGCATGGTCACCCTTGATTCTTGTATACTGCTCTTATTGCAAAAGACACAGACTTCTGCTGGGGCTCTTAACTTCAAGACCTGTTTACCTAAGAATCTCCTTGAAAAAGTGCTGATGACAGACCATCACAGTGGGCCAATGATGTTTGTGATGTCTTGGGATTAACAACCGGGTCACGAGTGACAACTGACAATGGAAGGATCGCATATGGTTGAGCTCAAGGGTGATGTTAGAAATTAATGTTAGAACTGACAAAATGCAGGATAAATGTACCTTGAGGATTCACTTCTGAATGGATTCAATGGGAGTGCATCTAACTGGTCTTAGCCAAGCAGTTAATACGACAGAATCCAAATCTGTCTGTGACAGGTTCAAAATCTGTCAAAGATGAAAATGCAAGTGATCATCAGAGTCAAAATCTGTTTCTCTTGGACTGCGCAGGTTTGAAACCTGCCAATGATGACATTTTTATTTTATGAAATCACATCCTGTCCCATACCAAGCACTGCATTTCTGTGCGCGCCCTACATTACATGTCCATCTGTTGTCCAATCCAACACACTGCTGGTATATTTTCATTATTTTATTTTTATGTCGTGCTGAAGGATACTCCCAGCTACAGACCACAATGTATAGATGCAACAGAAGCATTCTCGCTACATTCTGCTGCAAAACTAGTACAAAGCAGTCACACCTGGGTTGCATTGAAAAAGATAAAACTGACACGAATGACATCACTTTGATGAATACTCCAAAATGTCTAACTGTCCCTATTTGCTTGCACTTGGAACTTGGGTCTCTGAGAATCTATACACTGCAAAATATTTTGCAAGCAGGTTTTGAACCTGCATGGTTTGAAAGAAACAGATTTTGACTCTGTTGCAACATCTACTTGGCTAGGACCAGTGATATGAAGCTCTCAGGAAAGTACACATGGGTCGATGTCAAGGTGTGTTCTAACAGGGGAAAAAAAAAAAACATATATAAATCATGAGGAAATGTCAAGGTGCGATTTCATGGAATAAAAATGTTATCATTGGCAGGTTTTAAACCCGCACATTCCAAGAGAAACAGATTTTGACTCTGGCGATCACTTGATAATTTGATCTTTGGTAGGTTTTGAACCCACACAGACAGATTTAGATTCTGTCGTATCGACTGCTTGGCTAAGACCAGTGAGATGCACTTCTAATGAACTCATTCAGAAGTGAATACTCAAGACACGTTCATCTGCATTTTGTCAGTTCTTTCAATAGGCATGGTCACTGTTGATTCTTTTATCCTTGACGCAAAGTTCAATATATGACCAAAGTCTTGATGCAAACTCGGAATGATGAGTACAAGAGCAATTTAATTCTCTCCAAAGGTCTTGACTTTGTTGAAGAAGAAGAGCAGATTACACATCAAACTTTCAAGTTTGATCCTAATGACCTGGGGAATGAGGAAGAATACACATCTGTCAAGGCTGAGATTCAAGGCAAAGATTCAAAAGAGCCATCTGGCCACTATTCGCTTATGTATAAGGTTGAGGTGCACTGTATTTGAGACCTGCTCTTCTCTTGCTTTTTGAAAGTGTTGTATTGCAGTCTGTTTTCAATTCATCTGTTCAGCCGAGGGAAAACATTGCGAGTGACTGAACCAGACACTTAGTCAAGCCTGGTTAGGCGCGTGATGATGTGCGGAGCACAGTTAAGCAGAAGTGCTACTATGCATTGGCATGCACTAAGCAGATGTGAGGCGCGCATGCAGGTGGTTGGAGCATAGCGACTCTAGATGAGTTGAAGGGGGACCTAATAGGGGCTAAAAAGCACGTACCACAAAGGACTACTTTGAAGGTAAACCTATAGGGAGAGGTATGGAAGCAATGTAGTAGTAGTCCCAAGTATAGTCAACTTATACTGTCTAGTGCGCAGGAAAGTGCGGGTTCAGGTTTGCACAGGAGTTAATTGTTGGACAAATGATGAACAAGGATAGGGAAACTGATAGTGCTCTATACTCCTCGATGCATATATAAAAATTGGCTCATTCCTGCCCAGCGCGGTTCTGAGCATCACAGCAAGATGATGGTGGTTAATTTGTCAAGAGAGAAAAACATACATGAACTATGTAAGTAATGTTAAGCGCTAAAGCAAACTGAGAAGCGAAGCGAGTGCGTGATAATATGTAATATAAGGGTCCATGACATAGCATTATGGAATGTGTGCGTATAGCACCAGCAATGCTGTCAGAATTCACAGAAATAGAATAGAAATATGCACCGATGAACTGAATGGACAAAGGACAAGCATGACTCTGTTATGACAGTCACATGGCTAAACCCAACTTTGATCAGCTTGCAAGCAAAGCGACCATGAGCAAATTTCAAGGTGTGTTTTCATGGAAAAAAAATGAATTTTATCATTGGCAGGTTTCAATCCTGCAGAGTCCAAGAGAAACAGATTTTGACTCTGGCGATCACTTGACAATTTAATCTTTAGCAGGTTTTGAACCCACACGGACAGATTTGGATTCTGTTGTATTAACTGCTCGGCTAAGACTAGTTGAATGCACTTCCAATGAACTCATTCAAAAGTGGATCCTCAAGGCACAATCTCAGCCTTGATATATTTGTATTTTTCCTCATTCCCTAGGTCATTAGGATGAAACTTGCAAGTTTGATGCACCTGTGGTTCCCACGTACCTGATCTAATAAGATATGACAGCTGCGTGTGCTGGCGGGTCTAAAACGACGTGTTTCTAATTATCCCCAGCCAAATGAATAAAGGCTGGATACTGAGGGGCCTTCAGTGGTGCAAAGAGAGTACTGGTGGTGTTCCAGCAGTGTCGGCACCTATCTCCGTACCCCGCGTGCTAATATTAGCTCATTTAGAATGCCGCCGGCTGTCGGATGTAATGGGCGAGGCCACGTCAGCACCAATCATTCGTGCTCGCTGTTGCCGACAGCGAGCTCGTGTATTTCGCGTGGATGTGCACAGATTGGAGGCGGACTTTTTTGCATAGGTAGTATTACATGTATATAATGATGTACTACGTCGTTCTACAGCCAAAATGCAATCCCTATGATGAGCTCAAACATTCAAACATCTAAGGTCACCTGTAGAATACTCTCGAGAACGCGAGCATGCTCCTCACCATCCACGTCAGCATTCTCATCGTCCTCAAGGTCCTCCAGTGCATCATCCTCGCCTTCAGGCACCATGCTAAGCCCATCAGCAACCAGCTGCGCAGGAATACAGACTATAGGGGAGCTTGCGCTGGCTCCCGGTCCTCGTTCAACACTCTCACCCGGCGTGATGGATCCTGTAAAGCCCTCCAGCATACTGATATCATGCAGGCGCTGATAGTGGTGTCCAGCGAACCGCGCGCGAATCTTGCGGTGCAAGGAAACTTGATGAGCAAGCCCGGGGTGCAAAGTTTGCAGCTGCTTCTCGCACTCTGTCAGGTACCGGCTCTCGTCGTGTAGGTAAGTGGCTAGACGTCTGATTTCGATGTCGAGACGCTGTATTTCCTCACGGGCACGGCGCGTCTTGAAATATGTATCCATGGTCAGGCGTCCGGTGGGTGTTGCCCAAGGACGTTGTGATATGTCTTGACGTGCGTCACGGAGGAGATCGAAGTCGGAAAGAAAGGCGTATTCAACGACTTCCTCCCATGAAAGGGAGGCACGCGGGGGGCGTAGTGCTCGAGCAGCAGTGTTGTACCTGTCTAGTGCCGTCCGAATGGCCGCTGACCGTACTTGCAGCGCCTTGCCAATGTGTTTGCGCAGTTTGTAGCCTGACAATGCCATCAATATTGAGTAAGACACAAGCATCAAAACTCACCCGTCCCCGCTTGATTCATCTTCGAAAGTTCAAAAATTCGAGCAACAACCAGACCCTCCAGATGGTCCAGCACACGCTGAAACTTTCGGTTTGCCACTAGACGACCCACATCTTTCCACTCCTGGTCTTCCTGTTCCCATCTACGAGTCACGCCGAGCTTCGTTTCAAGTTCCTGGACAGCCTTGAGGTCCTTCTCGTAGTTTTCCATGGCATGCCTACGTGTCGTCTCGATCCTGTTCGTTGACGCGATATCATGGGGTCCGAACTCTACAGTGCTTGGCGTAGTGACGGTCCAAGCTGCAGTAGCAGCATCGAGGTCCTTCCTAAAAATTTGTTAGTAGTCAGCGAGCAGACAAAAGACCCTTACTCACTTGCTACCTGATAGATTCAAGAGTTTTTGCCAGTATTCCATCTGGATGGTCTCGTGGTTCGGTTCATGACTCAACGATGTGAGATAGGCTCGTTCCTCGGCCAACCAGGTGTCAAAGACACTCTTGTCCTCGAGGCCAAGCTCATGCATGAGCTTGGGCAGGGAGTTGGTGCCGTCAGAGATGATGCGGAGCGCCTGCTTGTAGTTGTTATATAAGAATGTACCTGGATACGAAAAAATCACATGTTATTCTGAGCACGCTGGTGATCGATTAAAAGACTTACTAAGATTTGCATAGATCTCATAATCATCGTTATGTTCAAAGTAATGGGCGATAGCTTGACGCCGGTGAAACACGCTCGCGTATCGCACAGGGGAGGCAAGTGCATTCGACTTCGAAAATGTCCGTTCGCAGCCCTCGAGGTCTTCCAGCCCAAGGCCATCCACATATGTGGCGAGATGGTCAAGCTGACAGAGACGTTGGTGGGCGTGTCCATGGAATGCCCCAACAAGTGAGGTATGATTGAGTTCCCGTGCGCGCTGACCTAGTGAACTACGGCTGAGTGTAGTCTTAAAGCGACAGCCGATGTCATAACCTCCTCCAAGGTTGCTGCCGAATGTATCGAGAAGTTTTGAGACGACGGCTAGAGGGTACTTTGCTCTGAAAAATGGGTCAGCAAGCAAGCAAACAGGGGATTAATGACTTACTGTTCTCCACTTTGGACCATGTCGGCTATCACGAGCGAGAAACCATGCCTGCAGATAGACATAAATATACCTGACTCGTCGAAAACACCCCACATCTTCTTCGTCTTTTCATCTCGCATATTTTTCCAGCGTCCTGCGCAAGGATTGTCCTGCAGTCAAATTAGCACAGTGTGAAGCTAAGAATGAAGAAAATAAACCTTGTCGTCATCAAGGGATAACATATCGGCAGGCGAGTCTCTTGCAAACTGTTCGATGTACTCGTTTAACAAATAACGGTCGCCACCGACAACTTGCGTGGTGGGTAACTCTGATGAGCGTTGGGCCAAGGGAGAATTGTCGTCAGAGTCCAAATCATCCTGCGTCGACTTTTTCAAGACTCGCTTAAGTGAGTCATTGCCGTCCATTGCATAGAGTAAGCTGAATTTCATGGGGACTTCACCTTGCAGTTTGTATGTACATGCTGGACAAGCATGCTTTAAGCGCCAGTGAGGGTCTCCACGGCGAAGTGCCTCGTCGACTAGCATATTGACACTGGTGAGAATCTGTAGGTAAACGTCCAGCGCAATCGAGAATTGGCGAGATAGATAAGCGTAAAATTGAACCTGTTCAATGTTTTAAATCATTGCGTGTTTGGGTGTTGACATAGACATTAGGTACGCACCCCTTGCAAGTCACACAATGTCTTTACGTAAGCTTGAATAGAGAAATGAGGATTTCGTTGATGTGCGGTGTGATAGAGTTCGAGGGCCTGTACTGTTAAGCCAGTAGTTGGACTTATGGGTGAGGAGGGAATGATGCCTTGTCGTACAAGGGCTGATGCAATAAACGAGTCCGTCGATAGTATGGTGAGAGGAACTTTCTCAGCGCCTATCATATAGTATGTCAGCACAGTGCATGTTTATGACGTACATCGTACAAAATACATCCACCACCTTGATCTGGATGGAACCCTCCGCTGTGTTCTCCCGGGCCTGAGAAGTGTTCTTATGGTGCGCAAAAAACCCGCAGTCGCCGCTGGCAGCATTGCTAATTGAGAGATGCCAATCGAGGTAGGCCTTTGTCAAGGCTGGCATCTGTCTATCGAATGCCTCGGTGCGCCGCCGTGTCCTATCACGCCTCGTCCTGTAGTCTGGCCTGCGAGACTTTGTATTGGCATTTCTGGGGATCATCTCAGTAAGTACTACGAGTTGTGTGATATATTATGGTACTCACATGTTGTAGAAATCCCCTAGTAGCTCTCTGGTAAGCTCGTGGAACTCTCCTCCCGCATGACTGATGTCCACTGGCTCAGATCCATCGAGGACGTTCATACCGGGGTCATCGTGAGTCTCGAAATCGAAGTCGTCCTGTTCTCGAAGCGCCTCAAGTGCGCGTTTCTCATCTGCTGTCAGTGCTAGGTAATTTTATTTGGTCAGGTTTCATACTATCACTTGGAAATTATAAGCTCACCTTCTGCGCGAGCTCGTTTGCGGATATTCGTACCAGCTGCCCGCTCAGCAATCTTACTTGGCCCTAGGACCTCTCGTGTTGGATGCAGCACACGGTCCCGATGAGACACAACGTGGCGGATCCTTGAGCTGGTAAGTCCCGTCTTGTTGCGTGGTCGTTTGTTGGGGCGTCCTAATGCCATTGACAAATATGATATAGATTTACCTTTGCGCGATCAACGACCACTCACCTGCACGGCGCACGTCAGATGCACGTGACTAACTTATCTTTCAGCGCTGTTGCCCACTGCCAGTGATCTACGACATATACCATCAGCGTGATTCTGTGAGGATCATGAATCAGAGTATTGCTACACCACCAGGTACGTTACATTATTCCTCCACTCACATTCTGGTAACTGATCAATGTAGCTTCTGAACCTTCATCTCAGAATCGCAGGCACGCCGCGGGGACCGTCACTCGCACATGGACAAGACGTACTGTGCAGACTCGTTCCCACCGAACCGTCACCCGCACAAAGACGACGGTCGATGCCACAGAGACCAAAACTGTCAGTGAGAAGACCCGCAAAGTCGACTCTGACATCACGCAGGCAATAACTGGCCCAGTAAGTGTCCCAGCCAGTAGTGCGCGCAGTTTTATCTGACATGCCACGTTAGTCGAACATTCCCGCTGTCTTGAACACTGACATTACAATACCGAGTCTCACCCAAGATTTTCCGCGGGATAACTCTCCCTCCCCAACCGACTCGACATTCACACAAACACCTCCTACCACTCCAAGTTCATCAAGTTCATCGATTTCATCAGCGCGATCGAGTGATGTGCTATGGGATCAGCTTGAGGATTTATCAGAATATATGAATGCTGTTAGTTTAGGTTGAGATCGAGTGTCGCCTGCGGGACTTTTGAGGATGTAGAACATTATCTATGGATGCTACGAAATAATGATAACACCCTAACTTCGCATTATCAGTGTGATTGACTCTTGAGCGCTGCAGAACCATGTCTGACATTTGCACGATAATTTGATGTATTGAATACCAATAATTCTAAGGCTACATAGAACAGAGTTTGTGTCCCGAAGTGTGGCTGAATGTTGCTTCAGTTTATTGGTGTATTTTCAAATCTTGCTCTACGAGAAATTGACTCGGCTTCAGCTCATCTCTCTGCAACAACTGCAACCACCATAAAACCATGCGTCCCACCATGTATAAAACTGCAGAGGAGCGTCATGAGGCTCGACTAAAATCAAAGAAGGATAGCTATGCGCGGTAGGTATCAGCCTTTCTTATCACTTCAGCATGTAACGCACCTTTAGTAGTCACCGACTTCAAGAACAAGTGAAGTCCTGCACACGATGGCGACGTCGTCGAGGGGCAGCTGCGGTGAGTACTCATCTGAATTTGACTTATGTGCATGTTGCCAATAATATCTGCACTTAGGGTACTCAAGAACTGCTTCAGCGTCTCGATAGCTTATGGTTAACGTTAGGTTACCGCGATCGGACTCTCCAACACAAATTCCTGGAGTCACATGGGATGTCGATCGTATCCGAGGTAGACCGAGAGGGTTGGGATTCAGTCAAGCCAGGATGTGAGGCAGGGCTCGCAGAGGTAAAGGACGTGGTGAAGCAGGCATATGATTTGCACACTGAGGCCCGTGATATTGATGGGCCTCTCACAGATTAATTGCGGGATGGAATAGCATCTGTTGTAGATGCGGTAGACGTGCACGTTCGTGCATGGGAGGAGTTGTTGTCAATGATGGAACACGGAGTCGATACATACTTTGATGCGCTTCGCTATGGTTCATTGGTCTGGCAAAGTACCGCATAATGCGCGTTCAGTATGCAATATCATTGTTTTCAAGTAAAGAACACTAAATTTTCGACCGCGAGCAATGACATATCAGCCTCTCCTACCCACATGCAAGCCGCTCCCTCTCCTACCCACATGCAAACCGCTCCCGCTCACCATATCAGTCAGAAGCTAAAGACATACTTTGGATCTTCCTCCCTCACTTCCTGCACCAGACTTGCCCCCACCAAGCTGCGGTATCGGTTTAGTCACGGCCATACGATCCTGCTGGCGAATCAAGTACAGAAGGCCAAGTGCATGGTATTGAGTGATGTAGCTCGTTGAAGGGATAGGTTGGTGACTGCTGTTCGAATTTCCAGACAAGCCAAAATTAAGGTAACCACTGCCGGATGATCCGGGGAAGAAGGATGATGAAGACTTTGAGCTGACACCTGGACGACATGGATGGTGGATGACCTGGACATTTGGTCTTGTGTAGTATGTAAGTCACGTGGGTCCAGGCCCTGCAGAAGCCATGCACATTGCGGAAGCAAAATGGACTGCGGAAGCAAAATGGACCCAAGTTGAGCTAAAAATAACGATCATTGTGTGTCGTTGTAGACGTCGCCGAAGAGCCTGAACTTTGTTCCGCGTCAACCTCAAAGCAAACTGCATCCCAACTTCCTGCATCCCAACTTCCTGCACTACCTCTCGCACTTAAGCGTGAACCACCTCATTCTTCCATTGTTCGGCTCATCACTCCAAATCAGTTCTCATTATACTCCACAATATTACAGCCGGCTAGCTCAATTGACAGCAACACAACTCGCTATCGTGTCCATCCTCAATCAGCCCCAGGCTGATGAAATGTATGGGATTCAGATACCTGATGTGTACGAACGCGTGAGACAGGTAATCAAGACCACCGAGGAAGAATTCAGGTAAATGGATCGCGTTCATCATCGTAATGGTCCATGGTTTATTTTGTTGCGGCCAGCACCGACATAGAGTGGCTTCTTGAAGAAATATACATATTCAGCCCACTCGATGATGATCGCATGCGCTCACGCCTCGTGCATCAGTTTAGTTTCACCATTTGTACAAATCAGTGAGTCTCACTTGAAGCAACGGAGCTCTCCTTGTTCGTCCTTGCAATATACTAATGTGCGCCGCAACTAGAACACAATTATCTTATGGTCATGCGACCCTTCTCATTGCCTCACTGGAAGCCGCCTCCTCAGGGGATTTGAACTTGCACGTGATGCTGGCAGATGCAAGACATTACTACGGTGAATTTTTTTTTCCATGATTTGGCAAATATCTTGACGTGTTCTTTGGTTGACAAACAGCGCGTCGTGATTTTTTGCACGGTGCAGTTTTTTGGCCAGCGTGGCTGGTACAAATGCTCACATCCATGGATGGCTTCATCTTCCCTGATCCATTGTGTGGTGACACTGGCTTTGGCTTTTTAGGTGAGTCTCTTACAATGGTAAAATGTGCGCTGTGTAATAAAGTCATCGCTAGATCTCAATATCAGCAAGGATCTTGGAACGACAGGCCCAGTCCCTCCTGCACACGACATTCACCACTCCTCTCAGCCTCCGTTCCAATATTCCGAACCTTTTCGACAATTTGACCCTGGTCGCCCTGATCTCAGTTTCACTGCGTCACTGAACTGGGATGATCCCTCACTGTACTTCGGACTCCCACCTCTCAGCGCTCTGCTCAATGAATCTCACGGCGTGTCAATTCCTCCTGTATCGAGTGATGTCCGGGCCACACTCACTTCAAGCAACACGGCCCCAGTTGAGGACAACACGCTCGAAAACTCAACAGAACTGGTCGGTAGTCTGACTCACAATACTGACGCGCATTCGACAATCGACGATACACAAGTAGATGGCCAGCAGCCCATTGAAGGCTCGCGTACGATGATTGCTCAACACAGCTCAGCTGCTCCACGCGTAGATTTGGCTGAAGCCAACAACTCTTCCTGGGCAGCACGGAATCCCGACAGGCCTGTTCTCGCATCGCGGGAACCCCTTACCACAGCGCAAAAAGCTCGTGCCAAGGCACAACGAGCATCACGCAAGATTACCTCCCAGCAACGCAAAGAGGCTGAAGATATGTTGAACAGCGCAATTCAACAAATGCTTGCCGAAGAAGCGCAGAAGGTGAACGACATCGCACTTGAGCATGGCGTGACTGTCGAGAAGGTCAAGAAGTTGATGGGAGGGATCAAAAATTACAAGAGCAGCCGCAGCGCACAACTTGAAAATGCCCTCATGCACGTGAAGGCAGAGCAAGTCAACAAAGGTGAATTTCTGTGCGTCATTCTCAACTGATTTATCTATTGTGTCTACAGATCTCCCGCGTGGTGCGAAATTTGGAGCTAAGGATCTCTGGATGTTGGTGAAGGAGGATACCGCCATGCAGAACTTGACAGAAGGAGAGAAGCAACAATATATCGACAACTTAATCGAACACCGCGCTATGCAGAACATGAGTGTTCGTGCGACGAACGCCTCCGCTGCACGTGATGTCCAGTCAACCCTTGATAATGTTTTTAAGATGGTAAGTTGCTTGATTTCACCAAGTCCTCACAACTAATGAACTCGTAGCTTGATAGTCTAGCAGTCCGGACCGGAATCTATGCCTGCGTGTTTGCCTCACGTGGACATGTATACGATACAGCTCAGGCAACGTGGTTCGGGACAGACAATGTGATGGATTTCTGGGAGGACGTCCTGCAAATGGAGGCAGACGAGATCGCAAGAAAACTGGAACAGTGGGCGTGCATGGCAGGTCGAAGTGTGTTTCACTTCACATTTTCACTTGCATATCTGCTGACTCTTACATTATCCTAGGCCTCGACGAACGTGAAACGGTGCAAAACATGCAACGTGTATGCACACGGCTCCTCAATTCAGGCCTAAGTACGTGTTTCGTTTCTCGCACTCACTTGATACTAACTAATTTTTTGTCAGAGACTGTAGCTAAGAGACGTGACATCCGCATCAACTATGCAAGCTTCGATACTGCTATCAAAGAGAAGCTCGGCATAGACCTGAGGGGCTGGCCTGAAGGCATTCCATTCCAATCCCCCACCAGCTTGAACGATCTCAACTCCCTCCTCAAGGTCCGTTGTGCACTGAAGGATGGCTCATGCCACTGGTTCCGCATGAGTCCCCGGCAACGCGAGGAGTATAATGCTCTGCTTGACGCACGCCGCAAGAAAGGAGAGGTGGTTACCAAGCCACGCAAGAAGCGCTCTGATGCAGGGGTACCTCGCAAACGAAAGGGCAAGGAAAATTCGCACCAGAGAAAGAGGGCACGAGCACCAGGGTCATCAATGCAGGCTCCAAAGAGTGCTGAGTTTGTTTGCACATCCGAGGAGGAGAGCAGCGAGGACGAAGCTTGACTTAGTAGTAGGGTGTTGACTTTGTAAGGTTTGGACCTCAAGAACCCTGTTATTCTACCTACGAAGCATTGCAATTACAGTACTCTACGTATATCTATATATCAGTGAAAGTCCGCCTCCAATCTGTGCACATCCACGCGAAATACACGAGCTCGCTGTCGGCAACAGCGAGCACGAATGATTGGTGCTGACGTGGCCTCGCCCATTACATCCGACAGCCGGCGGCATTCTAAATGAGCTAATATTAGCACGCGGGGTACGGAGATAGGTGCCGACACTGCTGGAACACCACCAGTACTCTCTTTGCACCACTGAAGGCCCCTCAGTATCCAGCCTTTATTCATTTGGCTGGGGATAATTAGAAACACGTCGTTTTAGACCCGCCAGCACACGCAGCTGTCATATCTTATTAGATCAGGTACGTGGGAACCACAGGTGGTTTGATGTGTAATCTGCTCTTCTTCTTCTTCAACAGAGTCAAGACCTTTAGAAAGAATTAAATTGTTCTTATGCTTATCCTTCCGAGTTTGCATCGAGATTTTGGTCATATATTGAACTCTGTGTCAAAAATACTCGCATTCACCTAGCAAAAAAGGATGCATGAAACCAACAGCGATGTCAATCAAGCTTGAGATCATCAGTGTTTGCTTGCTATACATTTGTGTGGAAATGTGAAGGTGTGATTTCATTATTCATACAATAAAAATAAAAATGTTATTGTCAAGGTGTGTTTTTATAGAAAATAAAATTCATCATCAGCAGGTTTCAAACCTGCACATTCCAAGAGAAACAGATTTTGACTCTGGCAATCACTTGATAATTCGATCTTTAGCAGGTTTTGAACCCACACAGACAGATTTAGACTCTGTTGTATCGACTGCTTGGCTAAGACCAGTGAGATGCAGTTCCAATAAGCTCATTCTTTACAACTGGGTCATGAGTGACAACCGACAATGGAAGGATCACATATGATTGGACTTAAGGGGGATGTTGGAAATTAATATTAGAACTGACAAAATGCAGATAAATGTACCTTGAGTATTCACTTCTGAATGGGCACATTTGGAGTGCATCTCACTGGTCTTAGCCAAGCAGTTGATATGACAGAATCCAAATCTGTCTGCATGGGTTCAAAACCTGCTAAAGATGAAATTGTTGAGTGATTATCAGAGTCAAAATCTGTTTCTCTTGGACTGTGCAGGTTTGAAACCCGCCAATGATACTATTTTTGTTTTATGAAATCACACCACCAGCAAGATGGTGCTCTAAAGCACAATATTCAAGGCATGTTCTAATAGAACAAAAAAATGCGAGATTCAACAGGTTTCAAACCTGTTGCACTTCAATGAAAACAGATTTTGATTCTGTTATGACAACCACTTGGCTAGACACAACTCTGATGAGCTTGTAAGCAAACCGACCATGAGCATATGTCAAGGTGCATTTTTATAGAAAATGAAAATTATCCTTG